TCGCCGATCGAGCCACCTTAACGTTAAAAGATACGCGTCTAATCGTGCGAAAAATCATTTGCGTTAGGAACGAACGAAACTACAGTATATTTAACAATTGGAAAATTATCGGCCGCTAGACGATCGATACGAAGTATACGACACGAGTACCTTTGAAGAAGATCGCGATACGGTGTACTCGGTCGGGTCGGTTCGATGAACGTCGTCCAACAGAAAATCTATCGATATGTTTCGCGCCGTACGTAACACGGTTAGAAAACGCCTCGACGATAATAATTCTATCGACTAATAATCCTCTAGACTGGAATTTCCATCTTCTTTCGAACGGTACATTATCGCAATCTTGCAAACTTTCGACCGACGGAATATTTTAAGGGTTTTTAACGCGTTTAATCGCGTCGCTACAGAACCGATCAATTCGAGAAACGAGAGAATAACGCGAAAGTTGATCGAGAGAAACGTACCGTTTCTCGTTAAACGTGCCCGTAGACGCACGCACGCACGCGCTCGTGTGCACGACGCTTGCCGATGATAAGCTACGCTTCGCTTCCGCTTCCGTTCGCTGCAGCCACATTTAGTCGCACCTGCTCGAATTGCATGAATTACTGCTAGCATCCAGTGCACGCCTGACAAAGATCCATATGACACCCAGGAACAATAAATTGTCCAGTTTTTATTTGAAATTATTTTTTCGAATCCTACATCTCGTCTCATCGGTTCAGACGAGAACGATAACTCGTAGGTTATTATAGAAGAGAAGAAATAAGGTGTCCAGCGGATTTTTTTCACATAGGTAAGCCAATACGGCTCTGCCAACTTCTACACCTGCCAGACATAATAGCAAGTGGTTCAAGTGGACTGCAGAAGTGGAATTGGTGTCGTCTTTTGTTCTCGCCGAATCAGCACCAACCTCTTTTTCTTGGCATTCTTAGAAATCAATACGTGCTTCCTAAGTTGCTAATACACAACCCTACCAGGGCTGTGAGTATGCGTGTGCATGTGTCTGCTGTTTTCTACACAACCCCACGCAAAAATCGACGACTTTCTTCCAACTCGACACAAATTTAACCCATCGGTACACTTTTCGATCTCTGAAAACTCCCCGCTGTCGAGTCGAAATTTCCTCGCTTAGAAACCCACGCTTCGTAATCGTATTTGCCCACTTACGATTTGTCCCGAGAGATTTAACGCGTTAACCGGCTATAAGGCTGAGATTTGAAAAACATTTAAACTTGAATCCAGTCTACCCGGAATCGAACGGCTGTCCTTCGCGACCACTTGTAGCGATGGACGATTAAAAAAGAGAAAAGAATATAGCGAGAATTTTTCTATATACTTTCAAACGAACCACGCTATTTTCCGCGTATTCGTATTAAAGTGAACGCGTCTAAGTACGTGTGCGTGTCATGGCTTCGTAGTTTACGATGGTGGCACGCGAACTTGGAACGTGTCTAATTCGTTGCGAACGGAAGAACAATTCGTTATGCACCGCTGTCGAAACGAGTACGTACGCGGCTAAGTACTGAAATGTTCGTGGGATAGGGTATTCGAATGCAGGGCCGATCAAAAAATAAAACATTTAAATGATGTATTTTAAGAAACATATTGACACAATGGACACAAATACATATAGGACTTTTATTCCCGGCGTCGATACAATCGCGAAAAATATACATATTGCATCGAGTTCCTCCTGATCGTAGATTGCACGAGAAAGATGGATCAACGTCCAGTAGAAAAACGGTCGGTCGTCTCTGTTTAGAAATTTTTATCGCGTACCGATTCAACCGCTTACGGGCGACACTGATAGATGCGACGCGGTTAATGTTATATGCGAAATCGAATAATCAAAAGTTTATAAAATGCTACTCGTGAAAATGTCCTGATTGATAGAAAATAACGTCAGCCTCTTCGAAACGATAGAAGGCGAATCGGTACGAGATAACCATTTGCCGAATAGATATATATATATATCGATACATAATCGTCGCCGGATATAAATAATTTATAGGTATAGCGATATAAGCGATATAAGGAAAAAGTCAGAGCACCCTGTATAAAGAACCAGAGGCTATAGAATTATGGAAATTGCTTGGCCGCGATTCGGTGTGGCGCATTAAATCACAGGAGGAACTTTGAACGAAATTTTTATTGCATCGCGACCGGCACCGAAGCATGCTTGCACCGATCGATCGTTGCAACCCATAACACTTCGACCATGCATCGGTAAAGGTGAACAAACCCTACGTGTTTAGACTCGACACATCCGCGCCACATAACCTAAATATTCCACTACCGCGACTTTTCTTCCTTTAACATTTCCACGATCTTTACGACGAAAAGAATTTACGCGAACCGAACAGAGATATCGATTATTTCAAATATTCTTCTTTCGCGACTGTATATTTCGCGGCCGTAAGAAAATTTCCAACCGCGAAAACGTTTCGCGATCGAAGACGCGCTTCTGTCACGCTTGGGCTCGGACTTGGCCGCGACCGCGATCACCCAACATGGCCGCCCGGTCTGATATTTGCAAGGAATTAACGAGTTTCGTTTCGCTCACTCACCAGATATTGCTTGCAATGTTTTTTATGCTTAACGGTGCACCGTTTCTTCTTTTTCGAGGCTCCAGTGGTTAAACCGTTTCCGGCCTTTTCTTTATGAGGCGTCGACAGGTTTCCCTTGTTGGCGGGCATCGCCGTTAATTCTCGTACCACGGAAATTGGCTCGTTCTACCTGTCGACTGCCACCGAGACGAATGCTCCTTTCGGTCCAGCGACGAAAGTGATTGATAAACGCTCGAAACTTCTCTCTTCCGCGTATACGTATATAGAATACACACGTGAGCGATAGTACATGTGTATGTACGGTATAGCTACTGGATATGCGCAAGGACACTGGACTACCCTGAGATGATTACTCGAGGCCACGCCTCCCGTCTTCCGACCTTACACGTAACTGCCATGCCGCCCCTTTCCAATTTTTCAAATACGCCAACGATTCCTTATCTTTCCCGTTTTTCCCTTAACGACGGGTCTCGCTCGATCCGTTCGTTAAATTTCCCGACCTACTTAACATAATTACCGGCTCTCTGTCGTAACGTAAAATTACATGAAAATTAAACTGATAGAAAGAAGCGGGGATGTTTCGCGGATCTGTCAAAAAAGTGATCGGCCCTGAGCTTTTAGTAGCGCCATTCTTCCAAAGTGGTAAATCACTTAACTACATTTTAGGGTGCGTTTAGACCGAGCGAGCGAATATTCTTCCTTCCGTTTCGGTGGAACTCGAATCGGTTCGAATCGATTTAAGTCGACGTGATTCGGTTCGGCCCGATTCAATTTGCAATCATTTCAATCGGCGTGTTTCGAATTCAATTTCGATTCGACGCTCCGTCTAGATCGGAGTGTATCGATTCAATATATTCTTACTCGATCTGATCCGGTTCGATTCGATTAAATTCATCGAATTATTTGCTCGACGATCGTTTATATTTTGTGCCGATACACCTGTTCCTTCTCCTTACTTATTAAAATCGAAATGCATCGTTTAACGAACGCGAAAGCAATGATTTTCCTACATATTAATCGTAACCCAAAAAATAAATAATAAATACCATTTACATACGATTTATTATTAAATGTTTGAAATCTTCCCGATTAAGATATTAGTTCTTACGTGCAATGTAGAAGATGTAAACATTGTAAGTTTTCTGCGATGTTTCAAAAGAGATAGAAGAGTTTATTTAAATTTATTTAATTTATCTCGTGATTTTGCAAGAAAAACAGAAAGCGCCCGAAATCGTGAAGAGAGTGTCTTTTACCGACCACTTCAGACTTTTGTACCTTAGACTTCGGTTGAGCCTGGTAAAGATGGCGTCAGGCACCATTTGCGAGATCGAGAGAGAGAGAAAGAGACGCGAGCAACGGAGATAGTTGAAATAAGTTGACCCGTGTCTTCGTGGTCGAGCGCGCTCGTTCTGCTCGAAACGTCCGAGCACGAAAACGTTACGTTAGGTTCGTCGTAAATTGAGTTACGTCTACGTATCGTCGTGTCTATCGTACGTGTATGGTTCAAACGTTGCATCGTTGCATCGGGTAGTCTCGCGTGTGTGTACGTGCGTGTCAATGATTCGTTATTAACGGTGCAGTTTCGTTTGATACATCACAAGATAAATTATGATGGTCTGATCGCGGTTCCAACATGACTGTGGATTTCGCCGATTACTTTTGGGTGAGTGTCTTCTCGCTTTGTATCCTGGAATGTCATCCGAGTCTGATTTAGGTTATGTGCGGAGAAACTCCCATCCTCTTCTTTCCGTTCTTCTTCGAGCATCGACTCTCGACCAACCGCCTCTCTCTCGTGACCACCTACGTCATGCCACAGCAACATTTTTTTCTTCGTTTCGTTCTATTCCTTTTCTGCGTTTTTCTTCCGTTCGAATAAATTAACACGTTTCTCTCAATGAAATCTCTCCTTCTGTCCTTCTTCCTCGTCGGTATGGTCATCTACGTTCGTCTCTGTCTTCGTTTTACGCGGCTCGGTTGCCTCCTCTCCTTTTCGCGAACTGTACAAGGTTACGCATTCACCACCCTCTGTCATCCCGTCTTCGTATCGTCTTCGCGATCAACGTAGAGAAGCACCGAGTACGAAAGAATGCGCATTCAATTGCACGTTGACATGTGTATCGCGTTTCCTCTAAGTGTTTATGGCTCAAGTGCAAAAGGGAATTTAATTGTTGACTTTGTCGGAGAAATCTCTTTCTGCTTCTTTTTTTCTTTGTTCATGATTTATATTCTCAATTGTACCATTCGTTTCAATTGATTTTAGTTGAACCTTTTGTTCCGCGTGTTATGCCTTTTAATATTCGATCGATTCTGTTAATATCTAACAGTTTTCATACATCTTATGTTGTTACCTGACCAATTTGTAATTTGACATGAACAATAAAATATGAATTTAAATACTAATATAAATTTATTATAATGCTTCTACCTTTACTACATGTATATATATACATATTTCTTTGAAGATGTGACATTGTTCTTTGTAACAGAAACAGGGTATAGATAAGATAGCTACTACTTCCTTTCGCTTCCGTTAAATTTATATCTGTTAAACGTTATTATGAATATGATGCAGCATGTTTTTATATTTTCTTCCGAGTAAGAGCTCGTTAAATTTCTACCAATTGAATGTTTTATTGTAGCGTTTAAAATTTATGACATCAAAAATTTTTGCCAAATTATATGTTTTATTTATGTTCAATTAAGTTTATTTGCGAAATGTACGTACTTAACTATACGTAGTTTACATTATTCTTTGTTAAAAAGACTGCAATAAAAATTAAACTATGGGTCATAAGTGGCAAGTAATATGTACAATAGGATGACGAGAGTAATAATATGTAATGACAGCTTATTGTGTCGACGTCGCTCCAGAGTCCTACTCTACGTGAGTTTGTAGCATGATCGGGGTTCAAGTGTTAAGTGGCTAAGTGGTCTTAAGTATAATTTTAGTGTATCTCTTTCGGTCGTGTTATTCTAATTGTAAACGAAATTTTTCTTCTGTATAAAATTGATGGCACGTATAATTGTTTGAAACGTTTCTCCTATGTTTGTAAATAATTAATAAAAATAGAAAATATCGATATTCCAAAATTTAAATTGCAGTAAACATAAAAAGTAAATTTTTATGATTCAAGGGCGAAAAGAATAATGGATTTGACGTGTTATATCATAACATGAAGCATGGTGTAATCGCGAGCAAGGAGTTGGCTGAGTTTTTAAAAGAGCGATCAGCCATAGAAGAAAACAATTACAAGCTCCTGAGTAAGGTAGCTAAACAAGCTGGCAATAGTAGTAGTACGCAAGGAACATTTGCGCCTGTTTGGGCTGCTTTAAGAGGCGCAGCGGAAAAACTTGCCGGCTTGCACTTGCAGATGGCCCAGAAGGTTGCCGAACTAATAAAAGATGTATCAAAATATGCGGATGAATTACATAAGAAACACAAGGCTGTATGTAACACTTTTTTTTTATATATTTTTACTTAGACATAAGTAGAACTTTGAAATTTTTTTCTTACGCGATTGTTATATACGTGGTACACAGTTAGATGGATACAAAGTATATTTTGACTATTTTTAATAGCACGCGCGATACGGATAATTTTTTATCCATTGTATCGGTTGCGGCTGTTTATCATATTTGTAGAATGAATCATTTTGTATATTTTGTATACTTTATCAGTATCCGCCCACGGTCAGGTCAGTAGGTTCTCTCATTGGGCAGAAGACTGCTCGTGAAAAAAAATAGAGATAATTTTTTATCGAGAGACAGAATGACAAATAACGATTTGAAGTAACCGATTAATTAATCGATTAATCATTTAATTAATATAGAATTTAATCGTTAATTATAATTTTCAATGGCATATTTTAATCAAGAGGCAACTTGAAAATTGATGCAAATCAGTATTAAGAGAATATAAAATTAGGTAAAAGAGGAAGAATCATCCACATTGGAAGTCGTACAAAGTATACAAAGTATTACCGTAACTTTACATAAAGCTAAAGATATGCGTATGCAAAAGGGTCTTGAGCTGGAAAAATTGAGAAAGGACAACGCCAGTCAAAAGGAATTAGAAAAAGCAGAAATAAAATTTAAAAAGGCACAGGACGATTATAAAACTTTGGTCGATAAATATATGGTGATCAGAAATGATTTTCAGACCAAAATGACTCAAGCATGCAGGGTATTTATTTCAATCGCTTCTTTTCTGCTCTATTTCTTTGAAAAATGAAAATGAAGTCAACGAATGTATTCTTTTCTTTATGCCAAGCGATTCCAAGACGTGGAGGAGACACATTTAAAACATATGAAGGAGTTTTTAAATATCTACGCCGATGTTTTGCAAACGAATCACGAACAAGTTGGCCAAGTGCACATAGACTTCAAACGCCAGTGCCTGGATATGACAGTGGACAAGTTATTAGAACAATTTGTTCAAAGCAAATATACAGGTTTCGAGAAACCAGGTAATAATTTTTGTAACGTACAGCTTGGAAGTTAGTGGTATTCTGTTATATACGATTTCTTTGTAAATTAGGTATGATCGAATACGAAGAAGTCATGACAGGTTTAGGGGAAATAACCAGTCATTCTCAATCGGAAAGCAACGTTGAGACACCTAAGGAAACATCGAAAGGAGCAAATGGAGAAACAGGCGTTGCTGGTAACATTCACAGTTCAAAAAAAGATCAGGGATTAAAGGGGGAGGGTTGTCAGGTGGACGAGGAAAAGGGGAGGGTACAAGAGAAAGAGAAAGAAAAAGAAAAAGAGAAAGAGAAAGAAAAAGAGAACGAAAGACTGAACGAAAGGGACAGAGAACTGTCACATGCACAAGCCACCAAGGCTTCCCGCCGTACTACCTCGCTACTCAACCTGTTCATGTCCAACTCCCAGGGTAGGTTTCGAAAACTGAACAGAATTTATCAAGTTTTAGTCTTTTTTAATTGCAATAGTTTTTATCTACCTTGACATAATCTACTTAAATTTGTAATATAAATCGATCGAGATACTTTTAATTTAAAAATAATATTTGAATTCCAGTCGGTGCCCTGTCCAAACATTTTTCGAACGAATCGAGAATTTATCAAAAGTTTATTATGTCTTGGTAGATATGTTTTGCAGTTTTTGTTTATCACGTCAGTGCCATTTTATTAATCACATACATATATATATATATATACATATATATATATATATATATATATATATATATATATATATATATATATATATATATATATATATATATATATATATATATATATATATATATATATATATATATATATATATATATATATATATATATATATATATATATATATATATATATATATATATATATATATATATATATATATATATATATATATATATATATATATATATATATATATATATATATATATATATATATATATATATATATATATATATATATATATATATATATATATATATATATATATATATATATATATATATATATATATATATATATATATATATATATATATATATATATATATATATATATATATATATATATATATATATATATATATATATATATATATATATATATATATATATATATATATATATATATATATATATATATATATATATATATATATATATATATATATATATATATATATATATATATATATATATATATATATATATATATATATATATATATATATATATATATATATATATATATATATATATATATATATATATATATATATATATATATATATATATATATATATATATATATATATATATATATATATATATATATATATATATATATATATATATATATATATATATATATATATATATATATATATATATATATATATATATATATATATATATATATATATATATATATATATATATATATATATATATATATATATATATATATATATATATATATATATATATATATATATATATATATATATATATATATATATATATATATATATATATATATATATATATATATATATATATATATATATATATATATATATATATATATATATATATATATATATATATATATATATATATATATATATATATATATATATATATATATATATATATATATATATATATATATATATATATATATATATATATATATATATATATATATATATATATATATATATATATATATATATATATATATATATATATATATATATATATATATATATATATATATATATATATATATATATATATATATATATATATATATATATATATATATATATATATATATATATATATATATATATATATATATATATATATATATATATATATATATATATATATATATATATATATATATATATATATATATATATATATATATATATATATATATATATATATATATATATATATATATATATATATATATATATATATATATATATATATATATATATATATATATATATATATATATATATATATATATATATTTGTCCAACTTATTTTTAGCACGCGATCACAGATTTATTAATCCAGGCATATGCGAAACAATTTTATTGACTATGCTTATGTGGTTGTGTTACAATGCTTGCGCGTTACGATCTAACAATACATAGGTGGAGGATGACATTACGAATTATTGTGTATTCCAGGGGGTTTATATTTACGTTTACACCGTTCGTCTCAGTTGGAACGTTACTTTTTAATATTACTATATTATTAGTGGGTGTTAAATTACATTTAACGTAGATTCGAACATTGAGATAAAGCGATAAACATCCCTCTGGAGTGCTCTTTATGCCACTGAAAGTGCAAATTATAATGAAATTTTAATAGATATAAGTAATGTATGATAATAGCAAGATGAAGAAAAAAGGGGCCATTGGAGGCACAGATCATTCAAAGATATAAGCAAAATGAGTGTTGTTTCAGACAAACAGAAGCAAGCAGGGTCTGGTTCGGCACCTGCAACTCCTCAGGGGAACAACCTGCCTCCTGCTGTTCCACCTCCCAGCATCTCCAGGAACCCTCTCAGAGGATCTAAATGTAACTGCTTACATTGTGATTACCTGTACCCTGACCATATCCATTACATGCATTTTAGAATGACTTTTGCTTAAAATTACTTCTTTGGTAGTTAGTGGAAAAAAACGATGAAGGTGAAGGTATATTATTAGAAAACTGCTATACAGCTTTCTGTAATATTGTTATATTACGAAAAAAAAAAAAGATGAGAACAAGTAGATGATTGAAATTTGAATCGAGAAACATTTTTCGCGAAAAATTCGATACGATAGCGATAATTCGTGGCGGTGATCTTTTTGGGGACATTACGATTCTTTTCCTTAAAAGTGAGGTGCTGTAAGAGTAGCTTACTTAAAATTGATCGAATTTATCGAAATATCTTTGCGAGGGAAATCCTTGCGTGGAATTTCGCACGATCGCGTTTAATCGATTGCTCCTTCGTTACACCTTTATCTTTGTCTTGCTCTGTCTATGGTATTTAATCAATCGATCTATGGTATTCGGTGATTATTTCATTGCCATATCTCTTTCGACAAATCTTTTAAGGCTAAACAGGATAAACGGTTAAATAAATATCTAATGACTTACAGTGGTAACGTGTATTATGGTTCCTCCACTCTGCACTCTTTTAGATCAGCAATGTACGTATACTAACATCGTTTAAGCACATTAAATTAATGTTACGTATATAGCGATATAGCGTATAACAGGATTAACGAGTTTTAACGCTAATTCACGAATAACTAGAGACACGTTTATGTAACATTGATTTATCCTTAGCTTTTGAAGCACATTTACAATATTTCTTCGCTTTGATACACGTTCAGTTCCGCTAGGGTATCCTGGAAAGATCCATAGATATACAGTATATCGTTAGAGGGAAGAAATATCTGTTCGTTCGTGTTCGACTAACACGCGGAAACAAGCTTGCTTAGAATAATAGGCTTCACCTTTAGAATAACACGGTAATCTAACAGGTAAATTAACATTACTCCTAAGATATAACTTATAAATTGTTTTTCTAACAATATTTTTTGTGTAAATTCGTATCAGGGGTTCTTCTATCGACACAACTCATCGTAAGATCTTACACACGTTTAGTTTTATTGTGCGATAAATATTCTATAAATAGCGAAAATCGCATTTTCGAAAGTTTCTCAAATTGAAATATACATATACATACATATATATACATATGTGTGTACATATATAGCATGAACAGTGGTGGCAGTTTGCTATCGTGAATCGCTAATATCTCGAATGATCGGTAATGAAATAATTTTTGAAACTTTCCGTGATCCTCGTATGTATGTATAATGTTAATTAAATGGACGCGGGAGTTGGACTTGGATAACGTTGAAATACGAATGCGGGGTTGGCTATTGACGGGGCCTAAGGTGAGCCATCCTTTTACCAGTGTATCTACTGCATGGCTCACGTGTATTTATTTTCCAAGTGCAGATATCTTTCGTGATATAGCGTAATGTGATTCTGCAAGCAACCCTTTTTTATTTCTTCTAGTTGCATCGAGTCGTTAGAAGGTGTAGTCGATATACATGTATTTGTAAACGTTCCCCGATCGCGGTATCTCTTCTCGCCGTTTTCCATTTCGTTCGCAATTACTCGAGATAATCGCGGTCCAAAGTTCAAAGATCGCGCGAATTCTCACGATACTCGTCCTTTTGCATGTCGATAGTTAACAACAGCCTTGCTTGCAGATTCTCTGTTAGATGCGCGATAAATCGCGAACAAATTTTAGGACGCGTAATTGTTAGAAAAACAATTTAAAGGAAGAGACCTTTGCAGATTTATGTAGGATTTTTTATGGTGATGGCGTATGGGTTTTCTTATATCTTTGCGCAATGTAACTTATTTTTCTACTGCTCTAGCCCCTTTATCTATCGTTGTATCATGATTATTAACGCAACCTATGATTAGAAAAATGATATTTTTTTGTTTTTTCTCCTTTTCATTTCTAGAAGATGCCGATACGTATTTCTCTCGTCCTAATAATAGTGAAACTCTCTCCTAGAGTCCTAGTATCCGAAAGAATGAAATTTAAATACCGAACGAAGGAAATTCGTGTCAGCATCGTTCCAGGGAATGTCTTAAATAGAAAGCTGTTAAAGAATGCATCTGCTACCCGTTGATTCGTTAATGATTTTCTTTTCTTCCCTTTATCGTAGAGCTGATTTGATCACGTTGCGCTATGCCTTAAACACTTGGAAAGTAAATTGAATTTCCATTTTCCATTGAACCACTTTTGGTTCGTGTTAATTTTCTTCGGATCAAAGAATTCATGAACTTTTTAGTAGACACGTTGACGTTGAAGAACGTAATTTCTTTCCGCTTCTTAATCTTTGGTTGAATAGCTACTTTACTTTACTCTTGTACATGTCGGAATAAGAGTAAAAATCGTTTCGACTATCGATGGAAAAATGTTTTTCTCGTAAACGCTCGAGTCTAGCTTGTCCAACTTGTAACGTTTGCCTGGCCAAACGAAACGATTTGTCCGTACGAGAAAAGCAATTTTTGTCGCCTCGGTGAAAATTCGCTCGGCTATTGTTTATTACGATAGAAATATTAGAAGCTAGCATTTTTAATCGACACGTTCGGATTTATCGACGATTTATCGACGATTTATCAAAGGATTTATTTGTTTTCTACATATCGTGTGCCCACAACCAACAGGGTTTCTTCGCAGCAGGAGAGAAAAAAGAAAGGAAAAGAAAGCGAAAAAGAAGAAGGATGTCGTGGAAACCAGCAGCAACAAAGAAGAAAAGTCTGACCTGTCAGTATATGCACGTTCAGCAGATCTAGTGCACTAAGGATCAATTTCATGATCAAACACGATTAGAGTGTCTTTTATTTCGGCGCTACTCGTTAAAGAATCGATCATGAGATTAATCTTACGCGCATTTCAAGTTTCCTATTCCTCCGGCACATCGAGTCGTTGTTAAAACACGTCGCCGTACGATATTTCGTAACGAATCGTAACGAATCGTAACGTAATCATTTTCACGGTAGAAGAAACTTTAACGCGTACGATGCACTGGGCCTGCTGGAACACTCGACGATATATCCCACTGAATCGTGTTCGTTCTGTATGGTAGGGAGGATAAGGAGGACAGTAGAAAGTCCGAGACGCCGACGCCGGAGGTAGACGAAGACGGTTTTTGTATTAGGCCAAAATCGGAGCCATGGGAGGACGAGAAAGGATTTTATTCTAGCTCGGACACCGATTCCGAGGACGAAAGGGAGAGAAAGATCAGGGTGGAAATCAAACCTCTGAGCAACGGTGGAGCACCCATGAGTGCCAGCGTGGACGAATTAAGGGCGACCGTGGAGAACCTGTCGTTATCGCCTGCACCGACGGTACCTTTTCCCTTCTTCTTCTTCTTCCTCTCTCTTAATTTAAATTTGTTAATCGTTGTTTTCGACTTTGCTCGATTTACAGGGACGCAGAGGATCGAATACCGATTCAGATCATCAGATGAAAAGGTCTCAGTCAGTGTCACAGCAATTAGGAGGTAAGCCAAGCTCGGATTTACTTGGCCTAAACTTGTTCAATCCCAGCAGTACACCATCGAGCGCCTCAACGCCGACCGGTAGTCATCCGTACGTGTCGTTGCAAAGTCCTCCGCCATTGTCTTTGTCACCGACGCCTCAACCACAGCCGCCGCAATCCGCACCACCTACGCATCCTCACTCGCGATTCCCCGGTGAGCGAACCGAGTCCCTCGATCGCTAGACTTTCCGAGTAACGAGACCGTATAAACCGATCGTTCTCTTAGACGGAGACTTGTTCTCGGAAGTGGGAGACATCACTCCGGCCTTACCACCGAAGCAGTCCGCATCTTCCACCCCGACAGGGTCTATTATCATCCCTAGACCCCCGTCCCGGCGAGGAGAAGGTCCTTCGCCGAGGGGTAGAATGTCACCAGCGACGATATCTCGGGCAGACAGCGTAGCCAGTTTGGAATTTCGAACAGCCGGCGTCGGCGTTGGTTCTTCCAGGGGACCTTCGCCGCTCACCATAGGCCTGGCGGATACCATTCCTTTAGCAGTGGCGTTCCACGAGATTGTTCACTCTTATTTTCGGGGTACCGACGAAACGCGATGTCAGGTGAAGCTTAGCGGTGACATGATGCTGTCTTTCCCGGCCGGTATCGTCGCTGTGCTAGCGAATAACCCGAGTCCCGCGAAGCTAACGTTTCGCGTGAGAAACAGTAACAGATTAGAGAAATTGTTTCCTAATAATCAGCTGGTCAGCATGTAAGTTGTCTGTAGTACATATCCTCGCGATACTCGACTTTCTTTAAACGACATTTACCGGCTATGTTCTCTCTCTCTCTCTCCTTCTCTTTCGCTTTCTCTTTATCGCAGGGACGTTACGCAAACGACCGTCGACAGTACAATTTTTGAATTCAACATGAGTGCCTTAACTACGCTGTTACGCAAACAGGCCGAACAAAATCCCTCGGCTTCGTATTTTAACGTCGACATACTGAAATATCAGATCAAGTGCAAGGAAGGTGCGAGCTCTTGTCCGTTTCAGTTGGTGGCTTATTGGAAATGCGAAACGACTCACACCGACCTTAAGGTACTCCTCCTTCTTAAACGTCTTAATCCGATATTCTTATCGAATAACCGGCTGGTTTGTGTTTCTTAGATCGATTATAAATACAATAGTCGCGCTATGGCTTCTCCGAGTCCACTGCTGAATCTCCACATAGCGGCGCCTATAGACGGGGGCTTCAAATCGTTGAACAGCAAACCTCAAGCTCAATGGTTACCGGACACGAACCGTGTGTTGTGGAAATTTACCGAGTTATCGCAGCACAGCGAAGGTAACGGTGTGGGCTCTTTGAAAGCGCGTGTCGAGCTTGGACACGGGCCAGGAAATCAAGGAACGATATTCACGCAATTCAATTGCGAAGGGACCACGTTATCCGGAGTTGAATTCGAGCTTCTGGGCCCGGGATATAGATTAAGTTTGGTGAAGCGTAGATTCGTATCCGGTAAGTAGAAAAGTTCTTCACTCGTTTTCTATATACTAAAAATAACTGGACGATCTGCTCGATAAGAAGAAATATTTGCTCGAATATTGCATATTATTTTCAGGCAAATACATGTGCGACGGAGATTCCGACTCGCGGAGTAGATACGCCGCTCCGCCATCCAACGTGGATTGACGACTTCCAGATTGGGCGTGCCTATCGGAGAGCCTGCCCATTTAATATTGGTACTTGCTTGTTTACTCACTGCCCATACCACGACTAAATGTCCGTTCAAAACCGAAATTGTCGTGGAAGGGAAACCTGTTGGATACCAAAGAATACGTGCGACGCGAACTAACGAGGTTGTCAAGTGGACGAATAATGATTTGTACAAAAGGAGCAACTGCGTGCTTTCGAAGTAGCAGGATAGAAAGTTCGTTCGTTTTGTAAACTCGAAAGGATCTTGCGTATCGTTAATGAGAAATGAAGGAAGCCGTGTTAGACCTTGGAATAGAAACGTTGAAAACATAGTTGGACTTCGCAAGTCACTCGCTACCTGATGAATGACGTTCTATATATGTTTTATAACTTGTATATTTTTCAATTTTCTATATATCTTCGATTAGATTGTACTATTTTTAGTAAAGTTTGTACGATGCGTACCGAGGTAACGACGACGATGGAGACTGTTGAAACGACAAACAGGGGGCAGCACTGACCCTCTTCGCATAACAACCTTTGGTGTCCAGCATATTTTTCACCACGATATTCTCGCCATATTATTGTCTTTATTATTATATATGTATATATATATATATATATACATATACATTTATATCATATATATATATATATTATAAAAATACGTTTACGATATATTTCTTTTTTTACGCGAAAGCTCTCCAAAAGGTCATCAAACAGTACAACAAGTCTTAATCATATTGTTATACTTTGCGTTATTTTAATATAATTATTACATCGCTACATTGTATCGTTAAGAATTTGAGAGAGAAGGGAAAATGTAAAGTATATGTAAACGCCAACTAATTACCGACGTGTACATTAGCATTTACAGTCTGCACGAGGATTGATTGTATGTCCTTGAACCGTATTCTTTCTTTCTTTTTTTCCTGTTCTCGTTTCTCGAATTTCTTCTTTTGTACGCGCAATAGCTGGACATACAACCGTAAACGTAGTCGAGAAGATATCGCGGAATTGTATTCTTTTACGACGATTCTGTACACGAAAGTTTCCGTGTACACTTTCTATTATAGAATAGTTTGATATAGTTTTACTTCCTCCGATAACGAAGACGTGAGAACAAAAATATGTTCAAAATAGATCGAATCGAATGGTTAAGACGATTGCTTTTTCGAAACGATTAGCGACGAGATTTTACCGCTTCGACGAACGAACAGGTTCACGATTTATTTTCAAAGCGTTTTCAAGTTTTTCTAACAATTCGAAACTAGCTCGACGATCCTACGATCTTAATAATCCAGTATTTCTTCTACATTTAACTTTAGAGTAACTTGATCCAGTGACTTTGATCTATGCACCGGATCGCGTTCAAAGAAGGAAGAGTTTATTAACTTCGAGACGTTAAACGAGTCTTCTCGGTCTTATATCGATCGAATCGAATATTTTTTATCGTTTACTTTTATTCAGTTTTTCTTATCGTTTTTGCTACGACTTTATGATACATTCAAGAACGAATCTACTCTACAGAGCATTTCGTTTGTAAAGGGGAAACGAATTCGGGATACCGCGTCTCTCGGTTCCTTGTGCCCTAGAATCGTACTTTTTGTTTTGTATATATATATATATATATACATATACATTTATATCATATATATATATATATTATAAAAATACGTTTACGATATATTTCTTTTTTTACGCGAAAGCTCTCCAAAAGGTCATCAAACAGTACAACAAGTCTTAATCATATTGTTATACTTTGCGTTATTTTAATATAATTATTACATCGCTACATTGTATCGTTAAGAATTTGAGAGAGAAGGGAAAATGTAAAGTATATGTAAACGCCAACTAATTACCGACGTGTACATTAGCATTTACAGTCTGCACGAGGATTGATTGTATGTCCTTGAACCGTATTCTTTCTTTCTTTTTTTCCTGTTCTCGTTTCTCGAATTTCTTCTTTTGTACGCGCAATAGCTGGACATACAACCGTAAACGTAGTCGAGAAGATATCGCGGAATTGTATTCTTTTACGACGATTCTGTACACGAAAGTTTCCGTGTACACTTTCTATTATAGAATAGTTTGATATAGTTTTACTTCCTCCGATAACGAAGACGTGAGAACAAAAATATGTTCAAAATAGATCGAATCGAATGGTTAAGACGATTGCTTTTTCGAAACGATTAGCGACGAGATTTTACCGCTTCGACGAACGAACAGGTTCACGATTTATTTTCAAAGCGTTTTCAAGTTTTTCTAACAATTCGAAACTAGCTCGACGATCCTACGATCTTAATAATCCAGTATTTCTTCTACATTTAACTTTAGAGTAACTTGATCCAGTGACTTTGATCTATGCACCGGATCGCGTTCAAAGAAGGAAGAGTTTATTAACTTCGAGACGTTAAACGAGTCTTCTCGGTCTTATATCGATCGAATCGAATATTTTTTATCGTTTACTTTTATTCAGTTTTTCTTATCGTTTTTGCTACGACTTTATGATACATTCAAGAACGAATCTACTCTACAGAGCATTTCGTTTGTAAAGGGGAAACGAATTCGGGATACCGCGTCTCTCGGTTCCTTGTGCCCTAGAATCGTACTTTTTGTTTTGGTCGTAACAAATTTAACCGAATGTCAGTTTCAGCCGGTTACGGATTACGATCATCGGTATCGACGCGACGTTCTTCGCTGCAGTTTTACATTTTTTCAGTCGACTAAGCGCGTTTATTCAAACTCGTACATTTATGCTTTTCAAAATATTTATATCGTTTTATTTACGTGCATCACGGAGCACTAGGCTTTCCTAGGGAAAATAAATCATTATTTCATTATCGACGTGTTTTAGTCATTTTTAAACGGACAAACCGTCTGCAGGTAAACATTTAAGTATTAGTAAGTTGAATTATTCGAGTTATTCAAATATTTTCTGTAGGGAAGCCTTTAACGGTACTGTACGAAAGTAATTCTCGTTCAAGTTTACGACCAAATCGGAGCACAAGGAATTTGCCTAATTTCCTCTTATTCTTCGAAACCGTGTGCGTACGAACGACTACGGGGCGAATGTGCGTATACAAAACGAAATAATAACTTTAAGAACAAGTCTGAAAACGAGCTCGAATATTATACATGTGCGTACAGGGTGTCGCGGTGTGCCGCGGTTCTTGCTCCACTCGATAATATTTTATTTTAAAACAAGGATTCTGTATTAACGCGAATTACACTGTTACTTCAAATAGAAAAAAGAAAAAAGGTAATTTTCTGTCGGGATCGCGTAAATTTGTCGAAACGAATAAAAACAGAATGGATCAAGACCCTGACCGTAATATACGTATACGTATAATATGTATGACCTCTTTCATTCAGAATGGTCTATTGAGCGTACCGATAAACTGGTACACCCTCTGTACGCGTATATACGTAGTCCAGCACACACGATGCTTCCTTCTATGCAGACTTAGATATCGGCAACAAGTCGACGAATAGGCCGTACATATTCGTGCATAGTTTCATAGAAATAATCTTTTTATTTTGTTTCTATCAGAGAAAAAGTATCGTTTTTTCGAAATAATCTCTACGTTGTTTGTATTTTTTAGTTTGAATTAACGTCGTTGAAATTCATACACGAGTATTTACGGTGCTTGTTGCCAGGTATTCGTTACCTGGCTCTAAAGTGCATTATGCTTCGTAAGCTAAACCAGCAGAAATTCGTAGATAAAAGAGCGCTATTCTCAAGATCTAAACAGTTTTTCGTTTTAGTTACCGGACGACGAACGCGACGAAAGTCTTTCGTTTTCTAGCGATCGTTAATCGCGGCGTATCATAATAATTTTACAGTTTTAAGATAGAGCGTATGTTTCGACGAATTTTGTATTACTTTCATTTTACTGTCAATGTTGTACACTAGTAGCAGAAAACGAAGCGAACGTCTACGAAGAGCAATACGAAATACCATCTTTAGTAATGCGAAGAAAATTTGCTGACCACTCCATCCGATGTTGATTCGTGTTTATTCGATTTGTAACGAAACAGAACTTTCTTGATAATATACATTTATTACTCTTTTCATTTATGTATCACGTGTCCGTAGCATTTTACAATTTACGAGGTGTATTTCTAACATCGCAAAGAAAGATTTATGTTTGGTACGAATATGCGAGGTAGCGATAGAGAAAGAAACCTTAACGAAAGAAAGAAACAGCGTACGGACTATTATTATGGAGTGGTTCCTGCGAAAAAAAAAATCGACTGAGCTCTCCTGTGATACGCAGATGTCACTATAATTTCGTAATAAACGTTTGTAACGAAACATAATAATAATAATAATGTTAATGATCGCGTTCACTCTCTTCCCGACTGATCCTACGAAGATCAAGACGTTCAAAAGTGGCTCAACCACCGTGTTTTTATTCGTGTAACATCGATCGAACGAGCGTGCGTGCGTCTTTTCGATTCCTATGCGTACAATTACATGAACAATTTAGATTTTACGGCGATCCGCTTTTTACATATAGTTGCAATAATAACGACGATAATTCGATTACTCGAGAGAAACAGTTTCACACACACACATACACACACGTACACACGCGCGCGCACACAACACACGTACAAACACGACACGATTCTGGAATATGTACACGAGCGTTATTTGTGTGTTTCGATTCGAACACGATGCGTAATAGAGGCAATCGCGTGTACAGGACTCGATGTCACGCCAGCAAAAGACGCGCGAAACTGCGGGATTGCAATGCAATTGCGTATATAGCTCTTATACATAGTATAAATACGAACAAACAAGAAATAAATACGATTACACGTGTTACATGATACATAGAATGGTTATGTAAGCCTGTTGACATGTAATGTCTATGTTCTAATAAAGATTAGGATATTTTATATAAATAAACTATTGGTTGCCGCGACTACGGACATCCTCTTATGTATATTTGGGTATCCTCTTTGTATTTTTGATTAGAGAAGTTATCGTGTTTTGTGCGTTTTAAAGGGTACGACGAACGTGTTGGCAGTGTTACGAAAATATAACGAAAGAGTGTTAGACTAATACGGATAAGTACAGAAACGTTAAATTTACTGGTCAAGAGTCTACTAGCTAAGGGGAAGTATAAGGACAGTAGCAGTATTCTATCAGCCGTCTTCCTCGTCTCTGTCTAGGTTCCTACTACGATCCGCGTTCCTTCGAACACGGGCTAAGATTCTTCGGTAAAGGAACACCGGTTATCCCTGCTAGTTCCTCAAATCTATTCTACCCGATTTCTTGATCTCTAGGCTCCTCCACGTCGTTCGATTTTTTCTGCTCCTTAGGAACTCTAGCCTCCCCCGAAGCCGTTCGCGAGTCTATTCGAGCGCGCGAATTCGTCGTGTTCGTTCAGGTCCCTTGGATTCGATATCGGTCCAGTTAAGACAAAGACCGTTAAATTCAAATATATTACTCTTTAAATAATTGGAACTTGTTGCACAATACTGTTCGCTTTCTTTAAGAATTGTTTAGGAAACGTTTCAACGACTCGTCGCTGTTGATGTGCTGGACGAGTACATCCTCGTACCTGAAAATAGAACGATAATTCAAAGACGGGTTCAAGAATAAGTTGATGCCAAAGTATTTTAAAAATAATGGAGCGAACCTACTTTAAAGGTACTGGAGCGTGTTTTCCTTGGAAAGGTCCTATCGATCGAACTCTTTTCAGGATAGCACGAGCCAAAACTCTCTCGTATTCCATATAGTTTGCATCCTGAGTAAACCATAGAGCCAACGCGCATCTCTTCCCCCGAAGAACGCCGCGTACTCCGTGAAGGTTCTCTCCGCCAGCGGAGAAAGCTACCATACGACCGCAACGTGGCGAAACGACGATGTCCGACTTACGGTTTGTTTGATTCGTCGCGAAGAAAAACTCGCCACCCTGAAAGTCATCGTTCAAATATAATATGGCCGAATAGTCTCTCCAAACGTAGGCTGGACTGTCCTGGACGCAGGTATTCGAGTCGGTCAGAAGGCAGTTATCTCCGTGAACCTTATGACTCAAGTCGTTTCGATCCATCGGCGAATCTGAAAATAAGGAAACGAGTTTAACGTCGATACCGATGTATTCGGTGAACGATGTTTTTACGACGAAACGAAACGAAACGAAACGCAACATAGGAAGAAAGACCGTCTCGATGATCGATCGAAGTCTGTACTTTCAGTTTTCGACACCGTTACCCACGTATCGTACCAAGTGAATCGGTGTAACGCGATTTCGGCTGCGAAAGGAACCGGAAGCACGCTGATGCATCAGATGAAAATTACCAGCTAAAGCCGTGCGGCAGACCAAATGAGTGTAGGTGAAATACAGTTGTCGATCTAGTCCGAAATACCTTTCCACGTGGTCACGCGCTTGTTCGGTGCTCTCCAGAAACATTTCCAACCATGTCGGTTCGATTTGTCCAAAATATACCATCTGAAGTCGAGAAAAAGTTCATTCTTAATATTATCGACGATCGATAGTTCGCGCGAATACCAAAGAGGATGAGGAGTAATCTGTTGAAAGCGTTTACATCGGTTCGATCGCCGAACCGGAGATTTATCCACTGATCGCTCGTTTATACATGTATTATCGCATGCTGTACTATACAGAAAGCCACTTCTACCGTGATAGCCGATGCGTCGATGAGATGCAGTATTATTACGTAGTCACGCTATAAAGAATAGTTTTTGTACCAAGGCAGTTCTTCCGACAGTTATACCCTCGAATCTCTCGTATTTCGAATGCGGACTCTTGTTCTCGTTGTATCCGTCTCCTTCCACCGCGGTCATCTGTGTCGATTTAAAGGATGGACAAAATTAGAAAGGAAATTTTTCATTTGCAATTTTCTAACTACACGACGGTCGAGTTAAGCGAACGTACCGAAGCAAACCTCATTAAGGATTCGCACTCGGTGGAGTTGAGGAAACCGTCGGCGACGTAACGATTTTTCCCACCGAGATCTTCCTCTTTCGCCAACAGATACGTAACGTTCTTCACCCCGAGTTTCTTCGTATCGTTTATCTCGCGCCTTTCCTCTTGTATCTTGGAAAGGTTGTCCGATAATTTTGCCCGAGAGACCGACGAATGACCCGGCGCCGGATGCAGCGTCGTTTCGACTTCGGAAGTCGTTTGCTAGAAAAACACGATTATCGCACATTTTCCTAGACGACGAAAGTAAATCGGAAAAGTTTGATTATACGCATCGTGCGAATAAAAAATCAAACTGAATCGTCTCCTGCCGCCTACGTTTATACTTGGAATAGTTGCACCGATGCATTTCTGGTTGCGTTGTACAGGCGTTTCAACGAGACGTCGTAACGCGGCATTTCAGAGAAGATTATCCTTCGAATAAATCTTCGAGTAGAATGATTTTCTAACGATCGATGAATTTTCGGTTTAAATATTTTATTAATTTTCTTACAAAAGATACAGTGTATTTAGAAAAAGAAATTTCTCGAAAAAATACGGGCTCCTCCGTCTCAAGCCCGATACCGTATCGATATATTTATACGCATAACGTCCTTTGAACAGAAATCAAACGGACACAATAAGGGTATATCGTACCGATCGATCAACGCACGAAGCGTATCTTGTCCGAATATTTGTACTTTATATTTCATTCTTTACCTTTCCTATTTCTTTCTTCTTCTCGTTCTCCCGATCAGCTTCTTTTTTCTTCTTGTTCATCTTGGAGAATTTCGCGTCGATAACTGAAAACTCATTCGATATGTAACGCAGAAGGCTCAACTCGTATTCCTGTCTCTTCAAGTAGTCGACAGCTTCCTGAAGGAGAATACAATTATGATCGCGTGCCACATATATGTATATAGAAGAAACATTTGATCAATTTGGAAATTGCCGAGCGTCGCGCATTTAATCCGTGGATAACATGACACTTGGTCGAAGTATCGTCGAGTATCGTCGAGTATCGAGGAGCAGACAGCGACGCTCCGCAAAAAGCGTACGATAAGTTATTATTTACGAAGGCGTAGGATCACCTGTCTGCCAGTGAAATATTCTTCCTGGACTTTTGGCTGGGCTCTGTAATATGCTTTGTTGTTCTGCATAGTTTCGTCGAGCGAGTCGAACAGCAGGTAACTTTCGACCGCGGCACAGGCTGCTTTCAGTTTTCCCACTGTGCATAACGGAGAAACGGATCGCGCGGTTAGTCGGAAATAGTTCGGCCGGTAGACGGTAGATGGTACGCGGCGTCGAAATTATTATAATTTAAGATAACGCTTTGCAAGGCTAACCGACGCGATGCTTAGAATTAACGAGGTTAGACGATTACGGTGTATTGTGCAAGAAGGAGAGAAAAGATGAGTGTCGAACAATGACGGGCAACTCGAATGAAATTAAAGGAAATTAAAGGAAATTAAAGCTCGTTCACCAGGCACTTGGATTAGTTTCGTCTAATAGGAGTCGGAACGATCAATTTACAAATGAACGGAACATGTGCTCGTGAGAAATTTCTAAATCGTTATTCTATCTGTATTGTATCGGTAGAATCGAGTATCGCATCGTTATCGCTCGATTCGGTTTCTTGGCAAGTTATTAGACTATTAAAAATAAAAATTATGTCAAATGGACGTGTCGCGTTTATTCGACGACGCGACAGGATGCGCGATATCGCCGCGATAACGATTCACGTTTCTTTCTTTGTTTACTAAATTTTTATGCATGCATGTATATTTCGTTCGTTCGGATCTACTCACGTTTGTAATAAGAGAACTGTAAATAGTTGTAGTGACTTTTGAGCATGTCTCTGCGATAATTGCCGTTGACGTTGTTCAGCCGTTGAGAGCAGGCACGTTTGCATCTCAAGCAGAAGGTAAAATGATCTGAAAGCAGAGTAAGGAAAAGTTGCGATTACCATTTTGAACGGGTCGTCGAAGATTCGAAAGTTTGTTCGCGACACTCACTAGCGACTGAAGAAGTGAACTCCGGGTGCCAGCCTTGATCGAACGGACCTTCGCAGTAAAATCTACATTCTTCCTCGGATTGTATATAGGAGCTCAACGAAGCCTCGAAAAGAGCCGCCGCTTGCGCGTAGTCTTCGTTCTCGTAAGCCGAAACTCCTTGGAAATAGATGCTGACATAAGGTGCCGTTTCTAGGTTTACAACCGCCTCCGGTTGCACGCCCGGCAATGTCAGATACTTCTTCAACGTTTCGATGCTCGCCTCGTGATCCGGATATATTACCAGGTACGTGAACAACGCGTTCGCCGCATCTTGGTATCGACGTTCCTACGAATAAACCGTCCGTTTTTCATTTTTCACCCCTTAGAGCGTTAGAGGTTCGCGCTTCGGAACGTCTGGCCGAACGAACAAACGTTTACGGAAAGTGGAAAAAGAAACGAATAAAAGAGCGATATCTATAGATCGACCTAAAGGCTAAAACGCGCTCTGACCAGAACGCTAAACTCGTTATTTACTAAAGTGGGATTAGCGAAGCCACGATTGCGTAAGATCCCGTATTAGAATTCGTCGGACACGCGTGGATGTAGAAAAAAACGTTAATCGACGGATTAAAGGGGAAGAAGTCTGTTATCGAAAGAAAATTAGATATTTTCAATGTTCGAATACGCTTCGTTAGCAAGAAAGACATCGAATTGTAAGTATAGTATTTTTCGGTGTATTACGTACCCGATAGTAACAAAGGTGCAGGTACTCGTACACTCGATGATTAATTAACTTGTGCTCTGTGTCGCGAGGTAACGTTTTCAACGCCCTCGAGCCGGCGATCTCCCGGTACTCTTGATTACATCTTAGGAGGCACAAGGTCTCTTTCACCTTCTTCTCGTAGAAATGCATATCGTCGATATTTTCGGGAAAGATCGGAGCCGTTCCAGCAGCCTGGGCTCTACATTTCTGTCTACAACCGACTATCGTGCGCCTGTAAATCTTGTACCTGAAATAACCGTTTGCGCGTTTTACGGGAGTCTAGCGATTCGAGACGAACGCGTGATATCTGACGAGCGTAAAAAGATGGATTAAAAAAATATCTGTTACGATAAAACAGAATATATATATATATATATGAATACGTCCCATGCAAATAAATCGAAATATTATTGTTGATTTATTTAGGATTATTATAGCTTTCCGGCGGAAATTTGAAATTCGAAAAGTACCCTTGCAAGACAGCGTTGAAGTCGTCGATGCAACGCGACCAGTCTTCCTCGAGGTAAGCTTGAACAGCATCCTTGTACAGATCGTCCAACGTTCTATTGTACGCGGACCAATTGTCCGGCTGTTTCTTTAGATTCCAATGCTCCTCGTTCGAGATCAGGTTGCCGAGAGTATCGTTGTTGGCGGTGATCGCGTCGCAAACGAACAAGAGAACGACGAGTCTGAGCATGGTGGACGGCTGGCTGTCCCGATTCATACTGAGCGAGTTCTTTCGAGCTTCGACGAGAGCCGCGGCTCCGAGATGTTGATCTACTCGCGCGAGTCGCACGAAGCGACGCGCGTAATCTCTCGACCCCTACTCTTCTGCTCTCCTGCTCTCCTGTCTTGCCATCTCCAAGCGTCACTTTGGACCAGCACGATGCCGATCAACGTCGCTGCTATACTTTCCGCGACGAAATATCGAGCTCGTAAAATTCTTAAGAAACAACCGCGTTTGCTCGACTAGCAAAGTACTAGCAAAGAGAGGCTCCGAGAAATTCGGTAAAATTGAACGACTCCGAGTCGAAACGTTGCAAGATTAGCTCTACCCTCGATAAATCGTTCGCATCGCGCGTCTATACGCGCAAAGATCACCCTGTCGATCCGTACACGTAGACGATATACGAGCATGATTCCGGCGCTGTATATTAACTGTACCGAAGTGTGCAAGTGTCGCGCGGCTGGATCGACACAAAGGGCGATCCTGAGAAAACGTTAGCCGAGTTTGTTGACCCGATGGCTGCTCTGATTTTTATCTTTCGTCTCCTTTCAACGGAAATGTCGATGCGGTATGTACTCGGTTCCACGCGTTACCTGTTCGATCATACCGATATGTCATCCATATTACTCGATGTTAACGGTAAATACTTTATCTTACGTTTTCTAGATTTATACTTCTATAGAAATACTTTGGCGGTAGTTACTCGTAGGCATACGACACGTTTACCTTGGTTAACCGATTGTTTCTCGCGTGTCTAGGATGTCGGAAAGGAGGTGCAAAATAATCTGGCTCGTCCTCTATAATAAGAAACGAAACTGTATTTCACGTGGAGAGTGTCTGTAATATAATTATCAAACGTTTGTTGAGTTCGTTAATAAATATTCTCATGGAGAACGTTCGTTCGCTTATCACAAAAAGAAGAGCAACAAAGTTCATCGAACCCTTTTTAAAAGAAAAGGAAACAGGAAAAAGAGTCGAAAGAAAGATCGATCGTCGAAATTGACGCTTCTTCGTCGAGAAAACGAAGAGGTCGGGCTTTCAACGATCCGAACACGGACCGAATTCGTCGCTTCGTGATGATCGGAGCCTGTAATACGTAAATCGGTGAAACGGCTCGCTCATCCGGTGAAACAACTTTCAACGAATAAAAATTCGGCAACGAACTCGTTAATTCTCTAGACGCGTAAACGTAACGAAACAATCCTTAACGAAGCATTGGTATTCGATCGATTACCGTACATCGCGGTGCAACCTAGACTTCGTTTGGTCGATCTAACAGAATCTCGAGCGTACAGCGCAAAGCGTACAGCAGAAAGCGTCCAGCGCAACAAGGGAAATCTTTCTCGAAGACGTTTGCTTCGGAATCGCTCGGAGAGAGCCGCGACAAAGGGTGTTGTTGCAACGTACCGGTCAGATGATTTTCCTTATAGGGTTTTGACGCTCTACACTCTACAATCTACGATCTAAGATCTACGATCGTTAGACACGACCAAGCTCCGTTTGCCCGAAGGAAACTTTTTATCCATTTACTCGCTTTCGATGTTTTTCTCTCCCGAAATCGAACCTCTCTCGCTTTCTCGCTCTTACGCTCTATGATTTCGATTGAACTTATTCGATTCGACCGCGATTATTACGGTAGCCTTCGAACTCGTATCTTGTTCGGACGAAAGACCGGAAGTTGCTCTGTCCGACGACGCGCCATTAATTGGTCACGCTTACTCGTCTACACGCGGAAAACGAAAGTAACAACGATCGTCTACTCCTTTAGCTACATGCTGCTTAGCTTCGTTATCATATTGTACGTCTACCCATTGATTAATATGCGACCGATCAAATTCGGTTTTCGTTTATCCCCTTCCCCTTTTACCGTTCTCGCGAACCTCCGCTTTTCGATTACATCGCAATTTTATTTTATAGCTTCTTCTCGCTCTTGCTCTCGTCTTCTTCTCGTCTTCTTCTCCTCTCGCTCGCTTCGCGACGAATACGCTCGTCTCTAAGAATGTTCAGGCTCCTTTTCTGGAACGCGATCACGCCCGAAATAAGCTTTCTTCGATACTTTAACAACGATACTTATTACCGTCGATGAGTTATCCGCGAACATAACGTTACCTTATCGTTCGCGAGTATTTTTATTTCCTTTCGAACAATTTCATCTTTGCCATCCGTTCATCGAGATACGTGTTCACGAACAGTAGTGTACTTCTTACGCTCCGCGCCGATTTAAACGAAAAACAAATTCAGTCGCATCGAAATACTTTTCCAAATATCTGACGATGTAAATCGCTTAACAAAGAACGTTTTTCACGAATGGCAAAACGTACTAACCCTTTCGTTGCTTTTACCGTCTATAAAGCGTTGTACGAACTTTTAAGAGTTCCGTAAGACCGATCCCTTTTTCTACGGATTAAATAGATGCCATAGGACTTGGCGAAATTTGTTTTTACTTTTAAGGTGAGTCCACGATAAATCTAACTTTCCGAAAGATATTTGAACCTCGGTCTTTTGGGAGAATCGATGAAAAACCTATGTAAAGCGTGCATAAATTTATTAACTAAAGAAAGCTTCTTTCTTGCATCGCGAGCGTGTATTAACCCATCGCGCGATAAAACTGAGCTTTTCCAAAATAGTAGGCAGATGTCGAAAGGCAGCGAAAGGGTTTGAAGTACCGTCGAACAAGAGGATCTAGAAAAAACGGTGACGATGGTGTTGCTGGCTCGTCGCGCAGCTTATGTCGTTAAAGTCAGATTCCTTTAAGTATTCTTACAGTCTATCCTTATCGACTAAAGCGTGCGTATGTACAATCGATGAGCTGCTTTAACGAGTAACGCCACGCGGATATAGCGTCAGTTTCATTCTCTCTCTCTCTCTCTCTCTCTCCCCCTCCTTCTCTTTCGTCTCTAGAACAATATAACATATTAAACGTTACATCCGAAAAACATGGGGGGAAAAAAGAAAAAAAGAATAAAAGAAAAAACAAGCAATAACGAGAATAAAATACCAGCGATTCGCTCGTTCGATCGCCAAGCTTATTATCGATGCGAGCGAAGCGTATACCTTTATGGCAGAGACACACATACGTACATACATATATCGTGTTGCTCTTTATGGCAATGTTCCTGTTTCTTGTAAGCGAACTTTTCGCGAAAACATTATTACCAGAAGTAATAGAACGCATTTGACTTCCTTCGTTTCCGTTTTCGTTCCGTTTCACGATCGAAGCATACACTTTGCCCTTAACTAATATACACTTTTATATACAGAATAAATTAACAAGTACCTAAACGCTAAAACGATTACAACGTGCCAAAAGAGCAGAGTATGATCCGCGACACGCTCGCGACTCTTTCTTACGATCGCTGAAAACTTTGAGATGCTTCCAATGCGATATGTTCTTCGTACACGTATGTTCCGCTACGTTGCTACACACTTAATACTTTACTTTCTCGTACTTTTTTTTTCGATTTTTCCATTTTTCCATTTTTCCATTTTTCCATTTTTCCATTTTTCCATTTTTCTATATCGCACTCCTTTTCGTACGTTTTCTTTCTTCGGTTTTGCGCTCTCTTCGAGCCAAGAACGATTCGAGACGCTGAAACGTTAGTAGCAAGCACCAGTTCTCGGATGAACGTTTAGCACCGATTCGTACGATTAAATGCGATCACCGTGCGTGATCGAATACTTAAACGGAGAAAGGTAATAATATCGTTGTGCATGCACGGGAGCATCTTGTACGCTGATCATTGCGGGATGCCTATGATGATCCGCTTATCGTATATATTCGTGTGTAGGCCGATTCCGAAGCATTTTCACGAACGTTCGTGGTACGAGATACGCTTCCCTCGGTTAACAGGAATTTTCCATGGTATCGCCTCTTAACCGAACTAAGCCTAACGTGCACGGACGAACAGCGATGAAAATTTGTTATTTAACGCGTAGGTCCAGCCTTTACCTCGTTTCTTGTCGCGCTAAAACAAACGTGTACCGTTAAATATATTATCGTTTCACGACGGGTTAAAAAAGAAACGATTACGTTTAAATCTGAATCACGAGTATACATACGTGCTTTTCTCGCTTTCGTTCCACGAATAATATTACTCACATTGGAAACTTATCTGTACGCGATTCGCTGATCGTTATGCTGATTCATACATGATGTGCTAATAATAATAATAATTAGATGTAATTGTAAAATGAGATCGTGTAAATACTGTAGCCCGAAGTGGAAATTACTTCAATTTCTTCTTTTCTCTTCCTCGCTACCGGTTACCGAATAGCGATTTCAACGAATTAACAGCAAAATCGATCGAGCAGTAATCATCGATTCTACTTTCATCCTTTGCTTTCCTTACAATTCGATAATCGTATGACAAAGATCACGGTTACGGAACGCGACTCGAACGTGTCACGCGATTTCGGAGAAATACCATCTAAAGTTATATCCTCGGTTACTTTGATCGACGGAAGCCTATAAATACTTGATTCGAGCACGAACTGTTTCCTCGGTTTTTAAAGCTGCAAACTCGTTCTTTTCGATTACCATCCTTCCACAATCTTCTTTCTTTTTTTTTTTTCCTTTTTTCTTGTTTTTTAAGAAAAAGAAAAGATACAGACTATTCGTTTCATTGGCAGAAATCGCTTACGATTTAGGATTCGATAATAAACGATCGTCCAGAAAACAAATTTTCGGTTCTAATTATTTTTCTTATCCTTTCCAGATCCACCGGCCTCGAAGTTGCTCGAAGAAGCGTTACCGGGGCCGTCCGAACTATCGACTTTGTGTTTCTTCGATACCTTTCTACCTTCCGCGCTGATCTCCGTATTTTTACCAACCGCTTTCTGTTCGTTCGCTTTATGCGACACGACCGTTTTCTCGTTGCCTTGAAGCTGTTTCTGTTTGCCTGCCGTTTCACTCGCTAAACTTTTCTCGCCACCTTGAGGCTTTAACGAGCCAGTTTGCGCACCCTTCTCACCCATCTGCGTCGAAACTTTCATCGAACACTGCAAACTTTTCTCGCTGTTTTGCAACGTTTTCTGACACGAAGACTGCGAGTTCTTCTCGGTGCTTTGAAACGACGTTTTCTGAAACGGTATCTGCGGACCTTTCTCGTTGTTCTGAGACGATACCTTCTGAGAGGAGACTTGCGAGCTTTTCTCGTTGGAACCCTGAAGTTGCTTCGGAGCCGCGTTGTTCTGTAAACTACGCGCTTGTAGGAGAGAAAAGTTTTCGGTTCGAGCAGCGTTCTCCGATTTATAAATTGCCGCTTCCGTGTTCTTCGTACTCGACTTTTGTTCCTCCGCCATCGATTCGTATTCGCGGCGATCACTGCGTTCTACCACGGAGTTCTCCGGTTCCGTCGATTTACCGGCGAAAGGATTGCTTTTGTCCAAAGGCAGAACCTCCTTCGTCGAGTAATCGTCGGCCTTGGAACCAGTCGGCGAGTCTTTCTCCTCCGCTATTCTAGGCAGTTGCGTACTGCCGCACGAATTCGACATACCCACGTTACCCAAGTTGATCGATATCCCGTGAGATATTTTCGAGTAATCGCTTTTCTGATCCACTGCCACTTTCTTCTCCGTTTTCGCGTCGTTCATATCCTTGAAGTTCTCGTTGCTTTCCTCGGAAGTCTCCGCGTAGGAAGATTGCGCTATGGTTACCCGGGGAGTTACCTTCACTATCGTGTTGGCCAGTGGCGATATCGATGTCTTATTTTCGGCGGACCGAGGATGGAGTCTGTCTGGACTAAGAGCTCTTCGAAGTAACGGAGAACCTGGCTCCGCAGACTTTGGTCGTCCATAGCCTTTTTTCTGGTTGTTCGGCGTTGCCAAGCAGACACCTGTGCGCGATACCAGTCATATAAATATTCTTGTACTACGGTTAGACAGTTTTGTCGAACTACTTCGTAGATCCAGTAGGTAGGCATGGTCAAGCGATGGTTCGCAGTACTTCCGTACTTTGTACTAGAATACCTTACGTACGTGAGTAAGTACGATATTCGAAACGTCGAAATTCCTAGATCGTGCAACCTCCGAAAGCTCCGTAGCTTGGTCGTGCCTACCTTTCGGTTAAATAGACTTTTCAAACGCTCGAGCTAGGAAATACCTGGACTATAGGACTGCGTCGTATTGGAGCTACCAGGCTGATGTCCCGTAGGAAACGCTAATGGACTTGGACTCCTGGTAGGACTGGCAGGAAGCGGCGACGGACTCGGAGTCCTCGCCAACGGGGACAACGGAATGTGTCCCACGGATTTTCTACGATTCGGCGAATGAATATTTTTCGCTGCGGTATGTAACTTATGCTTCAAACCGTGTAGAGTACTTGGTCTCTGGTAATGAGATTGATTCGAAATGGTCGGTAAGTTGGCAGCGGACGTTGTAGAACCCGGTGACGAAGAGTTCGGGCTGGAGCAAGGACTCGAATTGCCTGTCGAATGATAAGAGTCCGAGCTGACGCGATTCGTTGGCGGCGACGGGCTGCAAACGGACTTTGTGCAGGCTGCAAAATACGGCGACGACTCCTGGGAACGTGTAAACGACTGGAACGATCGGCTAGGGGTAACCATCGACGGAGAACACATTCCAGCGGCCATCTGGAAAAAGTATCGATTACGTTTCTCCGCGATGCCTTTCCACCTACGAGATACAACGAATTCTCAAGTAACATTGTAATCTCTGTTTCTTCGAGTATTCGATGCGTTACCGAACTTATGTATGCCTTTCGTGATCGGTGTAGTGTAAGACCGACGTTGTCGCGATCAAATTGGAACATAACAGAAAAGAACATTCAAAAGCTGTCGCGTGACTGTATCGGGCAAACGAGTATCGAGACCAAACAAAGTAGCAACTGAAACGATGTTAGCGACAAGTTGACGAAAACGTTACAAAAAATCATACCATAAGTGGAGGTTTGCTGTCGCTGGATAGAATGGGTGCTGACAATGGACAACTGATAGTTAATGGCTGCAATAAAAAACAAAAGTAACACTTAACGTAATCGGTGTGTTGCTCAGACATTGCCGGTGCTTTAGTATCTTGCTGTGCGCAGTTTCGTGTTAAGAAAAGAGAGAGAGAGATTAAAGAAAAAAAAAAAATATGTACAAATATATATGTATAGATTCGTCGTTTGAAGCAAATGTTTTTTTAAACATCTTTTATGCACGACGTGAACAAGTATGCCGTGTATTTTTATATTAGCTTTCTACTACGGTTACAAAGCAAAGACAACGTGATTTTACTTCTATACCTGTTGCATCTCTACGCTAGCCCGTTTCGAACTAATTCGTTTAAAAAGGGACGTTTTTCGTTTCTTATCGGAATGATCACGCTTCTGTTTGCGTTGCTTGTGCAACGTTCTGCGTGCCATTTTACTCTGGGCCAAATCCCTTCTTCGTCCTCCCGTCTTTATGCTGGTATTCTCTAACGGTGTACTACGTAATGTCACGTGGTCCCCACCGCTCAGCATTAATTGAAGAACTTGTATATGATACAGTCCCTGTACTGGTTCGCCGTTTATATGAGTTATGAGATCTCCGGGTCTCAAGCCAGCTTCGAACGCAGGACTCGACTGATCGACCGCCTGTAAAGTACGCGAGTAAATTCCATCGGAAAAAATATATATAATATATTATATATATATATATTAATATATATTAATATATGTCTAACAACGCACCATAACCAAATGATGCATCGTATAAAAGTCACTGTCACCGTAGTACACTCTTATCGTGTGCACGGTAAAACCAAATCCGCACGGTCCTCTTCGAATGATTATAGGTGGTTTCAAACTAGTTACCAAAGGGCTCAATTCCCGACAAGGTGACGTGTCTCTCGAAGAAGCAGTGGACGATCCACCGGGAGATTCGATCGGTTGAGTATTCAACGACGCATCGTCTGAAAAGAGTAACTTATACCAACGAAATCGAATATAACGCTACAACGATCAACGAAATGACTCGTGGTAATACGAACAAGAAAAATCACTGGTAGGTATTACGAGCGACAATCCACTGGTAGACGCGGATTTAATAACGGACCGTGACTTATGCTTTGCAGACGGTACGATTGGCATTGCGCTAAACGACTCGAACGAATCGGTACTAGAATTATGTTTGCTCTCTTCGGTCGTATCTCGGTTCGCAGCGATCAGATCCAACCTAAAATTATATTTATTCGTTGTAGATACGAGCAGAGTCGCTCGGTAGAAGCATGCATTGCGCGTGAATGAGTAATGTGCATGTTCGCGGCAGAGATCCCGATCTCATTCCCAGAAGGTCCATCGGCAAAAATGAAACGCGAATCGCGAGAAAAATTCCGAGAAACAGAGTCGAAGAAGATTTGGAAATTTTCGAATTTTTCCTAACTCCGGAGTTATCGAAACTTGAAAAAGCTGTACACGCTAGTTGGGCTACCGAATCGATCGTTACGCGTTACGAAGATGTATGTCTGAATGACTCACATGTGTTCATCATCAACGCATATACTGAACCTGGGCAGCTTGTCCCGGGAGTGCACGTGTCGCTTTCTCTGAATCTGCGGACTAATATCCTCCGACTCGGTCTGCGACGAATCGGGTGTACTCAAGTTGATCGACGTTCCTTCGATTTGATTATTCTTGATAACCGTCAATTGTGACTCGCCGCTTGTTACCGTAGCAGGACTAGCGAACGACGTGTTCGATTTGTCTGGCTTGGGCGGTGTCTCGCTAGACGTACTACTTTTAATGGACGAAGAAAACCGGCTCTTATCCGACGGAGTCGACTCGATCAATTTGGATGGTGGCGTCGTCGAATTATTAGATCCAAGAGACAATTGCGCGACCGTACGCTCGAGCTCGGAACGGAATAATTGTTTCTTCGAAGAATCCGACTCTGATTCGGGATTCAGCTGCGGTGGACGGGTTTGAGATATCTTTCTTGACTGAGGAGAGTAGGAGGAGAACGATCCGAATAAAGGGGAATCGTCGGTGTCGTCGGTATCGTCGCCTATATCGTGATTATATCTATCCATACGAGCTGAAACAATTATCGGTGTATTATGCAACGACATCGGGCAGAATCACCGCGGAGGAACGTATGGACTCGTTACACGTACTATCGAAGTAACTTGTATCTTCGTCGTTGACTAATTGTGGCACGAATTCAGCCTTTTGTCTGAGCAAACTGTTCCAATTTACTCCGTAAAAATATAAGTGCTCTTTCACTTCGTGAGATCCACCGGTGCCTAGTCGATCTCTGGGACTTTGTTGCAGCAACGCTGTTATAATATCCTTAGCCTCCGGTTGAACAGGCCAGTCATCCTCGTCTGGCCACTCGATATCGTCTACGCGATCAACCGATTCTTAACTATATGTATATGTATATATATACACGCAGAATATATTTGCCGCTTATTACGCGGCGATGTCGTAATAATTACCATTGACCGTATGAGCGAACAATTCCTCCGGGGTATCGCCAAAAAATGGGACACAGCCAATCAGAAATTCGTATAGTATAATGCCCATGGACCACCAATCGACGGGTTTACCGTATCCTTGACGAAGTATAACTTCGGGGGCGATATATTCGGGTGTGCCGAATACCTGTTTATCCGAGAACTGTCTCGTGTCCCTGTCGATGTATCCCTCGTAAAGATTTGTCGCCACTGGAACCAACAAACACTTCTTTTTTTATCGTTCTTTCCTTCTGTAGACTCTACAGTAGCGTAGAGAGAATATGTCGCTCGTTACAACACTTACGGGACATGAGACCCATTTTACTCAGACCAAAGTCTGTAAGTTTAATGTGTCCAAGGGCAGTAATAAGTAAACTAGAAGAAAGGAAGAAAGGAAGAAAGTTTAAAACGCCCATGCTAGCAACGTGCATCGTAAACGTACGATAGAAGAGGCATAGATTTACGTACTTGTCGGGTTTCAAGTCGCGATGAACAATACCGTAGCTGTGCAGGTATTCGACGGCCAACACAGTTTCCGCGAAATAAAACCTTGCCATATCTGGTGGCAGTGGACCGATATTCTTTAAAAGATTCGCGCAATCTCCTCCCTCTACGTATTCCATTACTAGGCATAAGTGCTTCTGCAATTGAACGATCGTAAACGTTCGTAAGTTTAATTTTCATGTTGTAAGAGGTTATGTATACGTACTTTTGTTTCGAAGCTACAGTACATAGAAACTACAAACGGATTGTCCGTAAAGCTCATTATGTCTCTTTCAGCGAAAACTTGCTCTACTTGATTTCGCAACATTAAATTATTCTTATTTATCTTCTTCATGGCGAACCTTTGCCGCGTGGTTTTCTCCTTAACTAAATAGACAGCACCGTACGCGCCGTTGCTTATGAGCTTCAATACTTCGTAGTCGCTTTCGCATGGAATGCGTTGAGACTTTTCGTCCTCCTTATTCGGACTGGACGCAATTTGTAAATTACTATCGCTCGAACTTGCTGAATCTTCCAGTTTATTTAAATCTTCTTGCAGTTCTACGATATATAAATGTTACTTAGACGTTCTCGTTCGACAAGAATCGACAGAATTCGAAGAAAAGAAGAGGTAACCGTTACCCGATATTGGATCCCTGTTCAAAGATAATTTATTAATAATATACTGAGGTATATCCGTTTTTATTCCAGCGTTAATTTTTGCTTGTCCTTCGGCTTGTTCGAGCAAATGATAAAATTCTTCTGGATCGAATTCTAAACATTCCAAGAGACGAGCTGGCCGAGATATTACCAACAGTAATTTCTTAATTAGCCCCGTTAATCTCGTTGCCGCTTCGAGCGATTTATCTTTTGTCTGCGAATGAAAATGTTTCGTTTTTATTCAAATTTCCTTATCGCGATCGATACGTTACACGATTTTACTTAAAACGTAAAATTACCTCCATTAACAAATGTTCTAAATTCTCACTCATTTCATAAAAATACCTAGTTGTAATTAATTTCTCCTGAGATTTTTGTAAGCAATCTCTTGCCATTTCGATTACTTGATGATGCACGAATCGCAAAATCGGCAAAGAGTCTTGGGTCATATTTGCCATCACTTCGTACTCGTCCAATTCTTTGTTTTCGTTTATAAAATTAGTCAAACGTTCTTCCATCTGTTGCGTTGCCTAATAAAATCAATTTTTCATCAAATCGTGTCGTTTTAATCGCTTGTCGCTGCGATGCGACTTTCCTATTACAAACCTATACCTTTGGGAATCGTTCCTTGTAAAGAGTATTCATCATAACGATTTCGCTGTCCAACACGGGGGACCGACTTGGACTACTACAATGAAAAACACCAGTCGTTCTACTAATTGCTAAATCGACGTTTCGATGCAGTTCGGTTAATAGCTCGAGTTACCTCAAACTTCGCGAACGCGGTCTGTGTAACGGTGATCTGCGACCCTCCTCGTCGAGACTGAGGGACACGCTCCCAGGAATACTAGAGATACTAGAACCTGGGAATCCCGGATGCGAAGAACACGGTGTGCCAGGCTTAGAGAAATGACAAGAAAGCATACGCAATTCGTCCTTGGTTGGAACATTTGGAAGTTGATGCAAACGTTCTTGACTCGAGTACTGTGACTGATTAAGTAAGTTCATCAATAACTTTGTAAACAATCACGTTTATTCTTAACTAAATCATTTCTCGACAGGTAACTAACCGAAACGTTACTGGAACCTGGCGTCGTTCCGTATCCACTAGACGGCAAGCTAGTAACTGACCATCTTCTGCCATCCCCCGTTCCTGTCGCACCTCCACTGATTCTTAAATATTTACATTTAAACAATTTAAACTGTTATTTTACGAGCCTGAACATTTACTATTTAACAAAACCAATATACGATCACTGTAACGGAAAAAAAGATCTTACACCCATGTTCTTCCTTTTCTTTTCATCGTATCAGACTTTAATTTAGTTTGCATCGGCATTTTCTTTTCTTTGCTATTAATAATGTATTAAAAATATAATGCTCACAACGGCGACATCTACTTACATACACAATCATATCAAATTTAAATGTACTAAAAGTAGGTATGAAATAGATACCTTTTAATCGGAGCAAAAGCAAAATGTGGACTGGACGACATCCTAGGACTCTCTAGGGGACTGCCTACAATCGGGACGAACGCTATATTGGAAAACAAGCAACGAAAAAAATTAATCCTCTACGATAGTTGGATAATATAAAAGGCGTATTTCTAGCTAAATAAGAAATAACCCTTTAAGGACATTATTCAAATATTCTAGATCTATCGTAATTGAAATTAAAGTTATATTTTAATAGCTGATTTACTATCATTGCACGCACTTGCATCCGTGTACATACTAATAATAATAATGTTGCAGAACACTTGTATAATATTCTTAGAAAGTATAAATATAGTACTGAATCACTTGTAAACAGATATATATATATATATATACGCATTAGACGTATCGTTTTCGAACAAGACAATCGTATTGAAAGGTTGAGTATGAACATTAGTGACGACGCACCTGATAATGGTGAGTGACAGCGTGGTAAAGTCGGAGAGGTTGTTGCAATGAACGATTTACGATGCACTGCCTTGGCAGCGCGGCGAGAGATGTTAAAGTCACGCTACAAAAAAATAATATTAGTTACAAGTATTATGTATGCTGCTAATAAAAATGGTACACGATATTACTAACCACGTGAACAGATAAAGAAGGAGCAGACTTCCCGATCGCAGAGTTTCTCATTCTAACCAAATTCGACAGTTCTCCGCTAACTGTAAATAGAGAATGATCCAAGATTAATTCTGTAAAGAAAAAAAAACAAAGTATCGACGTATAGAATTATAGAATGATTTATTAACCAGGGCGAACTGGGGCTTCCTTGCTTTCTACTTTGGACGGTACTGGGTGTCTCTGAGTATCCGTTTCCGTGCTACAAGCAGATTCTTCGCTCTCTGCCTGATCGAATACCAGTACCCTGGCAGAATTCCCATGGGAACGAAGACGTGGTCTACTAGGTCTGTTTCTGTTTTGATCCATATTGGTACTATACTAGTTTCTTCTTCGATGATAGATATTACCTAAAATTGAACAGATCACTTATATATTCTTTGTTATTTTTAATATTTGAAAATAAGCGTATCGTGTAAGAAGTAAGCAAATGTACCTGTCTCGAGCCGTTTTATCAACGGAAAAGAAAACAAAAGGGAAGGTTAATCCGATCAATGAGACTGTCGAAAGATGCACAATCCATTCTTTCTTGCGAAAGTTCGATCGACGGAGAGACTGACGGAGGAAGATTGAAAGATTAGCCGGGAGTGCGAGTGACGAGTGAAGAGCATTCGTATTCGTATCCGTATTCCGATCAGTTAAAATGCCGTCTTGAACGATTCGTTGTTAACACTGCTGTACAAAAAATTATATGTATTTACATGTAAGGATATAGGAAATGAAACGTGTTGGTGGAAGAAAAATTGTAATAAGCGATTCCACACGATTCGTCGTGAGAATTCGATTTGTATAATATACCTGCTCAAAGGAGAAAAGCAAGAGTTTCACGAAAAAAGAAAACCGGGACAGAAAACGATTCGACGAGGGAAACGAGAGAAGAAAACACACAACACTAAACACGCATAATGGATACGAACAGAACGAAGGGAGGAAGATAAAAAGATGCACGATTTACCGGGCACAACGGGCATGTCCTTTCAGGACAAGCGGCCCGGGAGTGAGCAGGTGTCGTAGTCTCGAGCCTAGACTCGCATTTTTCTCGTTACCGCAGAAATTAATTACGAAACGCGGACCGACCATGGGTTCTGACTCATGATGGACATACACACACACATAACTACGGTCGTGTACGTATAATGTACACATCTACGTACACGAACGCACGCGCAAACGCTCGTGCATGAAAACGCGCACGAATACACGCATCCTTGGCCGCAAGCTGTGCCGAGAATCAACACCGAGCCACCGAGCCCTTTATAGCGGAGTACGAGAACGTACATATATGTATACATAGGCATGAAAATATATATATGTATCTATGTATGTATGTATATATGTATATATATTGGTACATACGTACTCTGTACTGTGTTGACCGTATCGGTATTGTTCCTAGAAACCTCTTCGCCATTGTTATATTCGATATTCAATATTCAGTTGAACCTTTCCAGTTTAAGCTTCGATGCATTTCCTCTTTAAACATTCATGTGCCAAGGGAGTAAAAATTCGTTTGTTGCGATCAATTTTATTTACGAATCCGAACCAAGACTTTTCTTCTCGTTCATATTCCATTATCGATACGCGTCCTAACTATAATCGAATGAATGCTCGTTCTTCCTCGCTGTAGCAAAATTCGAGTGTAAACGAATAACAGTAACGCCTGCACGTCGCGTCAAGTCAACATGATTAGATTTGATACAATTTAATTCCATTATTTAATTCCATTATGATATGATTCCATTCGTTGCGATTCATTACGGCGCGATAATTCGGACGTAATTCGATTTGAAGCGATTTAATTTGGCGCTAGTTGCCAACAATGTTACATACATAGTTTCAAAGTTTACATCGGCATCGATGTAGTATATTTCGATGAAATTATATTTTAAAATATTATTTTAGTCATTTTAATCATAATGCGGTGAATTCTTTTCTATGAATACCTGTAAAATATGTACGTCGATATTCTGAAAAGAGTATCTAAAAATATCGACTGTCCATAACTACGCGACAAAAGCAAGGCGGTCTTTTTTGACACATATCAGCTGATGCATCACATACATATACGTACATACCATTATAAAAAACATTCGACATTCAGTAGTATACTCCTTTATGTATACATCCATAAGCATATATATATATATATATATATTTATTCTTAAACATGGTATTATTATTACTTGTTAATTCGTACATATGAGTAACAACATTTGTATATGTACTGTATTGTATTATATTATAATTATTATCTTCCTTTTTCATCTAATTACTTTTTTGTTAACGACCAAAAATGACTACGTTTCCATCGAGGGTTCAAATCGGGTCAGAGTCGGGTTAGAGTCGGGTTTGATTAGCGGGTTGGAGTTGCGGCAGGGTTGAACATTACCAACTGCACAAAGTCAACTACCATATTCTGACATGTAAAGGAGAGCAATATTAATTTTACAATATCAAAATAACATACAAAAATTATTTCTCAGATTACAAGATCACCGACAAAAAGGAATAATAACCTCTTCTACACCGATTAATACAACACGTGATACACAATGCAATTTGGATTTGTTATGTTGGCAACACGAACTCGACTCCTGTCGTTTCCACCGAACCCAATTGAACGCTACCCTAAAATTTTGTAGGGTAGAGTTCAACTAAACCTTTGGTGTTTCCACCGTAAAAGCGTTCACCCCAACCCGACTCTAACCCGACTCTGACCCGATTTGAACCCTCGATGGAAACGTAGTCTATGTGATCGGCCTACCTTTAACGCTATATTCCATTCAAGATAATCTACGTGTAGGCGCCGAGTACTAATCTATGTATCTGTATTAACCTATGCAAAGAAAGTTGCGGAATAACTTCGAATTCGTGTTAGGAGTATATGAGAAGAGTACGGCGCAAAATAAATAAATAATTCGCACAGCTTTTCGTCAACGGAAGAATTATTTAATAAGCAGCAAACGTATCGTGTTTCTATGAATAATGTATCTTACATGTTGTAAACTAGTAACTAGTACAACTCAAATCTATGTTGCGAACAAATTTTCAAACAGCATTTTTTCCGTAAGTTCCCTTTTCCGATGTAAACAACCTCGAAGACAATGGTATTGCTTGAAACCGCGAGTATCAAATTTTCATACCACTCAAAGAATGCATTCTCCTACATCTGTGATTTTGAGTATTGCATCCTTTGCCTCTGGATGTTACTTAAGACATTGGTGGTTGAAACAGACTCCGATGAAACGTGAAGAATATTTAAAGTGGTACAAGAATAAACGATTTAAAATTCATGGTAGATTATCTATGATCCATTGGTCTTTAAACTGATTCAAGAATAACTCGATGTTCATATTTTAGGTACTTTGGCTGTAATGTCTTTCGTCATGATCGCTTACTGTTCGACGTTTGTTAAAAGGGATCCAGTAGTAAATCGTCCGCGTCTTGTGCTATTTAACGAAGAAGAACAAGCTCGAAATGCCCAAGTGTTTGCTAAGGTATATATTTTGTTCGATGGTGTAACAAAATACTTGCCATAATCATAAATTTGTATAGTTAATAGTGCATTCTAGAGATAACGTGGTACCATTCGATGATCCCATGTACTCGAGGATCCTCGATGTAATGAGAAACCTGGGAAGATCTAACGAAAATCTATTTAAACATAGTAACTGGCGTATTACTATAGTCAAACGTATGTTCGATATAACGCCGAATCCTACTGTTATGGTTTTACCTGTATGTACATTAATCTCTTTGCAATCTAATCAAAATTATAACATAATTAGGTTGACATATTAACTTAAATGTTTAAGGATGCTACAATTATTGCTTTTAGCGACATCTTCAAATTCGTTAAAAACGATGATCAGTTAACGTTTATTCTAGCTCATGAAATGGCGCATCAAATGCTCCTACATACGGTAAGTTTCGTAATCAACTTATGATATTGTGATTGTAAGTTAAATAATATATATAACTGGTACAAAAAACATATTGTAATTTGTTTTCAGACAGAAGTGTTATCTTTTAAATTTTTAAGAATCGTTATGCTCGATATAATCGTGTTTCTAAGTTTTGCATTCTATTCATTCTGGATTGCGTTTGTACACTCTGTACTTGCCTCTGTACTCTCTCTCAGTATCTTTTGCTGGTACAAACGACGCAGAGAAATAGAAGCTGACAAAATAGGATTTGAATTGTGTGCAAGAGTATGTAATATACGTACGTATATCGAATTCTTGTACCTTGACAATGAGAATGTTCTTTATGTTTTTAGAGCTGCATTGATTTGAGAGAAGTGTTTGTATTCTTGGAAATTCTGAAAAAGTACAAAGATTTGATCTTCAAAGATGCATTATTCGATGTTTCGTTGTTCAGTATTCATCCTCCTTTAGAAGATAGGCTGAAGAGAATGTACGATGATCTACCGAAACTTTTGCAATTACGAAATGAAGCCAATGTATGTAATTATTAAATATCATTCATAAACGTTGTGTATTAAAATATGAAAAGTTGTTAAATCAGAGAACATTTTAGTGTCCAGAATTACCGGATATGGATCCACGTGATAATCTACCTCGGTACTTAAAAGAACTCGAAGATAATTTACGAACTGATCGCAATTCTTTCGGGATACAGTTGTAAACTTGTAAAATCAGTTTTTTGAATATACGAAGAGTGAATAATAAAACTTCTACGTTCATTACGCGACAACGAATCCAATGAAATGAATAATTCATTAGATAGGATCTGCTAATACTATGGTGACACATCATTCAGGAAATATCTTATCGTTCGTCTTCCTGTGGATGTGGAAAAATCCGCAGTATTATTAATAGTTTTTCTTCGCGAGCCATGCCGCGTTCGAATTGGTAATAGAATTTTGCAAGATGATCGTTAAATTAACGTTCCTTTTGTTCGTTAAAATAGTGTGCGGATACAATATAGATGTGGATTTTGCGGCTTTTTATAATCCGAAAAATACGTTTGACAATCGTGATAGTTACTTTGGCTATACAGTGTACTTATACCATGACAATGGTACATCTTGGTACGGTATATTGCCTCTTGTGTTTGATAAGGTTTAATAAAACTGTTTTCTCAGATAATATTTAATCATGTCTAATGCGATTGTGGAAGGTTGTTTGTTGGAGCACCGAAAGGAAACTATTCTACGTCCTTCTATACGATTGAACCAGGAATCGTGTATCGTTGTGAAATCGAAAATGCAAAGTGCCAAGAAATTAGACCACAAATAATTGAGAACGAAGAAGAACACATAACACAACTTGGTATGGATATGTTGATAAAAAAGCAACGTGGTTGGTTCGGAAGCGCAATGTCTATAGACAAATCGAATAAAATACTAACAGTAGGTGGAATGTTACTCGTTATTTTCTCTTCCCCTGTCTGACTCGATGTTAGTTTGAATATTAGATTTAATTTTAGGTATGCGCACCACGGACCATCGTGACAATTTTTAATCCTTCTGCCGATGTTAATCTCGATACAATGCAGGGAATGTGTTACAGCGGAATAGTTTCTTCGAATTCATTGACAATCGAAGACAAGGATCTTCAGTTTCACGGTACGTATTTGGAAAAATTAATAAGCATAATACAACCAATTGATTTTTATTTAATTTTAATTTGCAAGATTTCAAGTCAAAATTTTGGTACAATCCATTGCATGGTTTTACCGTTCATTACGCCTCGATGAAGGTACGTATGTACGCTATATTTGAAAACATTATGTGTCTATTTTGGTATCGGCGAAGCGATTTAAAGTATAATCTATGATAGAATAAAGAAAAGGAAAGGTACGTCACTCGTATAAGTCGTATAGTGGGAGAACCTAAACACGAAAACTATGGTACTGTAGACGTGTTACATTTAAATAGGAGAATGACCATAGAATTGCCTTTGAGCGATGAACTATCTCAATTTGGTATGTTTATTGCATCGGTAATATGTTTAACATTTATATGTAGCAAACTATCATTCGATAATATTCTATAGGCTACAGCGTCGAATCTGGCTACTTTTTTCGAAGAGATCAGTTATTATACGTTAGCGGTGCTCCAGGTTGGCATTACGTAGGCCAGGCGAGTAATTATACCTGTCATTACGCATCGATTTACAAAGATTTTATTGTAGCTGTTTCTAGGTAGGAATAATTAATCCAGCGAATGGAATGATCGTAGCGAGATTCCAGGGCACGACAATTGGTGAATTTTTTGGAGCTAGTTTGGCAGTAGGCGATTTAAATAATGATAGTTTAGATGATCTTCTAATCGGGGCACCGTATTGGGGAGAGGATAATGGGAAAGTATATGTGTACTTTGGTACGTCCAAGGTAAATAAAAGTGAAATATGCTTGTGCGTTGCATAAAAAATATACGTTCATTACGCCTTTTTCTAATTATCGATAGGAGGGTCAATTTGAAACAGCTGCAGTCTTGGAAGGAACTATAGAAGGAGGACATTTCGGATATGCAATAACTTGCAGTGACTTGGACGCAGATGGATTTGATGGTAATTTTAACGTATTTATCATAAATATATTTATATATAGAAGTATTTAATATACTTTTGTTACGCTATGGCAGATATAATTGTGGGTGCACCTTGGGAAGGACGTGGAGTCATTTATGTATACAATGGCGGTTCAGATTTGAAAGATAAAAATTTACAGGCTTCGCAACGAATTGCTGCCGCAAAGTTCGCACAATTTGGCGAGAGTATAGAGCGGTTTGGGTTCTCGTTATCGAAACCCGTCGATATCGATGGAAATGGGTCGGTGCAGTTTCTTTTCCACTAATACATCAATGATTAATCGATTAATTTATCGTTCATTATCGTATTCAGTTATTTAGATATCGCAGTAGGAGCATACAAATCCGGACATGCTGTCCTGCTTCGTGGTAAACCGGTGGTAAAAACGGAACTTGTCATTAAAACTTCACCTAACATCTTGCCAAGGGATGCTAAGCAATTTTTTATCAGTATATGTCCGAATTATATCGGCTACAAAGTGCCAACTTCTCAGGGTAAGTTACATATTTCTATAAGAATAACTAATTTCTACGGTTACTATTGCACCTGTTCACTTCTGTTCACAGAATTTAAGGTTACAGTTACAATTGACGAACGATACCAGCGAACAAAGAACACGATTGTAGAATTAAGGTCTCTCGATTTAAAAGCGGATAAATGTTTATCCGCCAACGTTAATATTTTGGTAAAGATTGATCTTTGTTAAAAATTTCACTTTGATTTAACGCGAAACGTTTTACAGAAGAATGTACGAGATTTCATTGAACCAATTACTATCTTTGCGAGACACGATTTTCTCTATAACAATGCGACAGCATTCTGTAAATATTGTCCTGTGGAAAGAAGAAACAACAAATTGCAAATAGCACAGGCTTCGCTTTCTTTCAACATCGATTGCGGAGAAGACAGGATCTGTTACTCCAACATATCTGCCGTTGCAAAATTTTATGACGTGCAGTAAATATTCGAACATCATACCAATCCCTTTTACCATTTTCCGTGATTGAATTATACTCGAACGAGATTCTTTCAGAGACAACGATACGTGGGTTGTTGGTTCGAACGACGTAAGTTTGGAAATCGGTTTAAAAAATCACGGAGAACCTGCGTATCTTACCACGATCGAATTCGTCTTACCCAAAGGAGTAATATTGCGTAGCATTTTAACTTCTTGTCGAGAGGATACCGTCGAAGGACGTTTGTTGGTAATTTGTGAGGCAGGAAATCCTATTTGGAAAGGGGAAGAGGTATCGTAGTTATACTAATTTATTGAAACAGTATTGGTATAGAAACTACCGATGTAGCGTCGGGCAAAAACAGGGTATTCTTTGTTGGGGGGATTCCATGCTTATGAGATATTTGAACGTTACCCGACTTTCGATGCATTCTGAATTTTTAATTTTTTTCATTTTTATTCTAGAAAAACGTTAAATTAGACTTGGACTTGAGGCACTTGAACAATGATTCGATACATGGGTACAAGTTAAATTTTTACGCGAAGATAAATAGTCGTAGTACAAATTTCGGGATGAAAAATATCACTAAAACATTGCATTTAATAAACGAAGTTTCTTTGTCACTTCATGGGTTCGTACTACTTATTTTATTTGCAAAATAGTCGTAGCTATTTATCTTTCATAATTATATCCTTTGTAGAAAAGCAAACGAAGAAACTTATTACTTAACTAATTCGCACGATGCTGCTTCGAACGTTAGTTTTCAGCATACTTATCAGGTATACAAACTTGGTGCCTCGGCTATAGAAGATGCACAGCTTATCGTTAAAGTGCCAACAGCTATACAAGACTCGGAAACTTTGGTTTACATCTATAAACCTCAGGTAAAATAATTGTTAATTTATTCTGGTAAATATAAACTTTTGGGAAGTTATGTTTCTAGTTATACGTATCGGGAGAACGTTTCGAGTGTTCCTCGGGAAATATTTTATTGAACACTGAACTGATCGAGATACAAGGAGAACCGTCTTCGGATCAATTTGATATACCCCAGTCCACTAACAAAGTACAACAAATTGAACTTCACGAATTATACAAACGAGATCTGAACGAATCAATTACGGCGTTTCATGACGCGGGTAACGTAAAAGCGTTGCAAGCTTCGAACGAAAGTTCGACAAGTGATATTGTTTATATGAATTGCTCGACTCCTGAGGTGAACTGTACGACCATCCTGTGCGATTTAAATGCATTAAAAACATCGCAAGATATCGGAAAGATAGTGATTAAACTTTCGTTGAATATTCAAGAACTTAAAGGTAGCTGACTTACATAATTATGTGCATAAGTATTATATTATAATTCATTGATGAAAATTTTTTATTATGTATTAAGATTACTTTAAGAACGCTAGAGTCGTTTTAAAGTTTGCCACTCAAGCCAGAGCGAAAATAATAAAACCCGCTGTAAGGCGAGACGCGAATGGAACTCGGTAAATAAATTTTTAAATACTTGTCTGAGAAATTAAATATATTTACTTTTTAATAAATCTTCAAATCGTTTTACAGTTCCGCGACGGAAGTAACAACAATGTTTTACAATGCTCCAAAAGTGCAAGAGTTGAAGTTATGGATTATTCTTGTCTCCGTTGCAATAGGATTGTTTTTCTTACTTATTTTCATTGTAATTTTAAGCTTGGTAAGTACTTTTCTGTTTAATAATCGTCGAATAACAAGTAAAATACTGTATTTATTACATTGATATGTACCGAATAGTTGGGTTTTTTCAAACGCAAAGGAAAACAAGATCTAACAAATCTGAAAAATAACGAGGTAATTATTTAATGACACTGCATACGATTTAATATTGTATTTAATTAACATATCGTTCGCAGGTAACAGAGAAAGAAACAACGTCTGTGATCGAGACTGATGACGCGTAATGTTTTATGGCCAAAAGTACTTAACAAAGTATTAGACACATAACGGTATACTTAATGTAAGAAAAAAAGAAAAAAAAAAAAGAAAAAACGAATTATATTTAATAAATATTCTACTTTCTATTTACATGAAATTCAACGCCCAATTATGTATACAAATGTTCGGTTTTATTTAATTACACGTGTATTTACAGTTCGTATGCACTTGAACTTGACGGAAGGCATAATGCAAAAAACCTATATCTTAACATGTACACCGTTAACGCAACTATTTACATTTCATTTAATAAAAACGAGAACACGCGAAACATTTGCACGTTTGACGGCATACGTATCTAAGAACCGAAGAGCAGTGTTCCATAAATTGATTCAATGTTGCGAGTAAAGATCGCGAATAATTGATTTTTCTCGCGTTACATTCCTGGCTTTTTGTACAATGTGTCAGAGCGAATGCGTTGGGATATCAATGTTTGTTCTACATGAACACGACGAGTTAGCTTTAAAGGAAATTTAACAGTATCGTTAACAAATAACTTTGTCCTAATTAGTATATTATCATTAGCATAATTGAATCAGCACAGAATGTGAACATAAAATTATTCTGTTGGTATGGATTGTATTCATACTTTCGCGGCAAAAAAAAACCAACGATCATTAAAATCATCGAGTTGAATCGTAACGTTCGTCAAAATCGTAGATCTTGTTTCGTTTCCTTGTCTTTCTTCTTACGTATGTTAGTCGATCCTGTTCATCGTTATTATTTAATGTGTCTCGTTATAAGAGACAAGAGAGCGAAGCGATGCGGTCATGGCTTCTGTCTTACTGACACGAGAACCACAAACAAATTCTTACGGGCTTATCAATCCGCAGAAGCAATTGGTATGCTCGAGTTAAATTTCTTCAGTTCGAGGTTCAGGTTTAACGTTATAATGCGCACTTTGCAAATATATCGTTGGTCATAGCTTAATTGTCGTACATCGACAGGCTACGACCTGGGACAAGATCAAACTTTGAAAGTTTGTCTTCTACGTGAATGTTCACTTGCTGTTGGGGTCCCAAATTTACTCGAGGCAACTGCCCTCTTCCACCACTCTTATTATCCTCGCAAGTAGTTTAATTCAACTACGGCGAGTTGACTGTCTTCAAAATCAAAGAAATTCGAAAACAGTTTCCATGTTGTGGCGATTAATCTTTTTTTTTTTTTTTGTGGCACGCAAGGTCCGAGGTAATCGTTTTGTTAAACGCGCGTTATTCGTGTACACCGACAAATAATTTATGTTCACATACTGCATCTAATCTTTGGATTCGCATAATATTAATCGAAACTATATAAAAACAATCAGAAATAACGGTGCATTCGCGTATGCAGATGATGATAATCTTCGTTACGGAAAGTCAACACATTTGATTATCGTAATAGTATATAAAAGAAGCTGGTTGATTCGTTTCGAAATTCTTCTTTTCTTTTTTTTGGTTAAACGTTCATTGTCCCTTTGCAATGTCGCTTACGTTTTTACACTAGTTTAAATCTTAATCTAATATTTAAAAAATTTATAGTATTTATACTATTTACTTTTTTTTTCTTAACATTCAAAAAGTATGCAGCATATTTTTTTATAATTTACGATCAACCAGCTAATTAAAGTGAGGTCGAACATGACCTTTCCAAGATCATGCATGTTTCGTTTTCCCAGCCTTACGAAGTTTAATATAAACTAGACTGTATGAAGTGCATAATGACGCTTATTTTACTACAGATAACAAAATTATAATTTACGCTGGCAGAGGACAACGATCATTCTGTTTTAACGATCGTTCAATGATATAAGATATCAGGACACCATCTTGTTATACATTTTAAAGCAAAATCAAAGTGTTACGTATAAATTATCAAGATCGTGTAAAATAAACATCATTGTACGCGTATTTATGAAATAGAATTTAACCGGCAGCTAAGTACCATTCGTGTTTCAAATATTAAATTGTCGTACATTTTTTTCTTTTCTTTTTCGTACTATCGGAGGAAAGTACTGAAACGTATGAAAATTAATAATAATAATAATAATAATAATAGAAAATTAGAATACGTATGATCTAATGTCGTGTATCGACAATAAGGCAACAAGCACGACAGTATTGATACATAAAAAATGAAGCAATAACTAATTGGATCGTGCCAATATTATTTACTCTTGAAATTAATTAAACCTAGAAGATAATCTTAAATTCTAATCTCATTTCTTAGATACATCATAATCTGAATAGAAGATTTTGCAGAAAATGGTATGCAAGGATTATATTCTTTACGCGAATCTATTCGTATATTATGACCGATTATGAGTATATTATGTATTCGATGCAAAAAGAAGCTTGTCGTCGAAGGAATTACCCTGTGAAAAAAGATTAGTCGTTTTTCCTAATTTCGAACAATCTTCTTTTTGTTCGATACACTATGTTATTCGATAGTTTTGGGTGATAACGCAACAACGAAAGAAAGAAACGTACAAGATATAACGAACACGCTGACTATACGTATTCGCATGGGTAATGGTTAAATTTCCGTAGGAAATCGGAACGTCGTAAAAAGAATAGATAAAATCTAGTAAAAATAAAAGAAAGTATTATCTAAAGTATCGAACGAAAGTTTCAACGGTTTTGGCGTGGCAGTCAACGTGTTAATACGCGTTAAAGATCACTTGAGCGACTAGAGAAAGAAAGAACATAGTCGTGAGAGAAATACAAAGAACCCAGAAACTTGTTCTTGTTCAGATTATGACGTAAATACTACGTGTTACAAATGACACATGCAACGAGAAGAAAAATAGTGATATAAATTGAAATTGTTTTGAATCTTACTTTTCCCCTAACCCGTAGGTCTAACATAACCTGTTTTATTTATTAAACGCTTCAGACGGTATCTGTCCTCGTTTGAAGAACTCTTGAAACGCCGACAGCGCATTGTCGTAATTCCACATTACCTCTTCCAAGCATTTCAAACTCCATTCTAGATTCATGTTCGTTTGCTGGCTAAGCGTCATTGTCATTTGTTGTTTCACGTTTTCGGGTAACTGCTGCGAAGGCATCGGTTTCGCGATACCACTGCTCGATGAAGCACCGTGCGACACAGGTCCTGGTATTTGTACTTCCGTTTGACTGTTTAAATGTTTCAATTGTGCATCCGTCGGAGTGTTGATATGTAATTGCTCGTTTCGAATACAGTAACCAGTCCCTTCTGGTACTATAATAAACGTGCGATTGAAGTAACGAATCGATTGCTCTTTCTTATCGAGTTCTTTGAATAGTCCTGTGACCGTGATCAACATCATTCCCTCCTAAAAGTACGTGGTAACGTGATCATTAAACGGGTTATAGAAACTCGATACGGGACTCGAGTCGAGTTTACGAAAAAATTATCATCTTACAGTGACAAGACTAATATCCATCGTGAATGTGTTTAGATAGTGACTCGTTTGAGGCATTTCAGAGATAAATGAAACCACGGGTAAACGGCCCTGTTTCAATAACTTGTGTCTCTTATTTGTATCGTTCGTTCTGTACAAATTTCTGTTTTCCAATAGGTATCCGTTCAATCTGTAACAATCTATCGATTAGAGAAACAGCCGTTACGAGCGATCGACTCTTCATAGTTAATAATAATAACTCACTTGTTGTTAGAGTTGTGAGTATAAGATACGGTCATACTGAAGCACGCGTGTTCGTCATACGCGTCCAATAGTGGCTGACGATTCTCGCTATCGAATATAACAAAGTATTGCTGTAAAAATTGACTAGCAATTTCTTGTGCTTTCGCGTTACCGACGAACATTCTTTGCGACGGTGGCATTTTATTTCCTTCGTCCACTACATCGAATAAGATCGGCTTTGGAAGTTCCATTCCATCCTTTTCAAATGTTACGGTACATGTTACGATTGTCGTAAACGACGATTAACGGTAGAGAAACGATGGATAATTACTTACCAGCCGTAGTAGTTTAGGGAATCGTTTCCGCACGTCGCTATGGTCAGGAAAGAAAAGCCAGAAGCCCGGAAGCTCCAGGTTAGTCGTAATAACAGAAACATTTGCCTTATTATTAAAGAGTATTATAAAAGATGATATAGAGAAATCATACAGAACTTTCGAATTTGACCTCCCTTTATCAATTAAAGCAAGAAAGTTCTGGTAATTTTAGAATGTCTACCCATAAAGCTTGGATTTTGATCAAATGGAAACCTATATTTTGTCTAAATACAACAAATATTAGTCGCTTGAACAGTAATAAACATTTGGAAATCCGTTTCGAAAATTCTTTCACCGAGAATCGGAAGATTTATTGAAATAATACATTACCTAATGTAGTCATTCTGACGAGACTTATACTTGTTGCAAACTGGATTTCCTGCTAGTTTCAGCTCTTCCAGTTTTAAATCTTTGATGGTATCTATTTGATTCATTTCTTTTATCTGTGGAACATTAATTCTATATTAATTTCCTTATCGAAATATTCGCTATACGTATCGTTTTATTTTCAATTAAATTGAATATAACCTTGTTGTCCCCGATGTACAATATCTTTAACTTTGAAAACTTTTTCGTTAAAATGTTCAACTTTTCAATTATCTGTAATTTATTTCCATCCAAATTTAGCGCCTCCAAATTTGGTATATATTCCGATACAAGATCCAGCACTACTTTCAGCATAATAGGGCGGAATAATGCGCAGAAGTAATCGGTAACGAGATCTATAAAGAAAGTTTTATAAAATGTAACGTATTTATTAAATGATTACCGTCTATATTTACAAGTTTACTAACCGGGATCTCTGTGAAAACTCGATAGATCTAACGCGTTTGTTTCGTGCACGTATCGTTTAGCCATTGCTTGCTTCAATCTTTCTTTCAGTTTTTCGTCTATCTCGCAATGTGGAAAACCTGATTTTATAACTTTTACTTGGAGTTTGAATCCATCCGTGGTTGTAATTTTCCGATCAGAACTAAGTAGAGCAGTCGCGGTTTTGTTATCGTCGACGTAGAAACTAGCTTCGTTTCCGGCTACTTTATACTGCAAAGAAAGTTTAGCGCAAGGGTTTCCCTTATACCGTCTTTCCGATCGTGTTACACGACTAATATCGCTGATACTTACCATTATTGGAACGAATGTTTCCGGCGCGATATAACTAAGGAGATTATTCACTACGTAATCTTTATCGTATTTGTGTCCGTAAGGTATCTGTAATCAAAGTCGTTCGTAATTTACGCGCGTTAAACGACGATAGCACGTACGATCCTATGCACTTACGGTAATCTTATACCAATTAGGTTCACCAAGAGGAAGTCTTCTCATACCGGCAGCAAGTCCTCCTCTAAACCTCCTATGAGGCAAAGGACTATTTCTTCCACGTTGCATACCTCTATCTCTTCCTCTGATGATAACTTGTCTATTATTGTTGTTAGAACTTGTCGCCATTTGTACATCTTCGTCCAAACACGCTAATGCCAAACTTCTTGGTATATCTCTCGTCGGTCTTGCTTGAGTTTTAAACGACACTCTAGGTCTGTTTCCGATATACGAGCCTCCGTCGTTCCTTGGAACACGATCATCGTGACCTGCTGAGAGCGAACGATTTGAAGACGCGATTAAAGTAGGGCATAAGAAATATGCGATTAACTGTAAAAAATATACCAAAATAGTGTTTATCGTTCGAGTTTCCTGATCTTCCTCCTCGACCTCCCCACGAGGACTTGTTGGTTTTTCTTAACATTGTCTCGGAGTTGTCCGATATTCGATCATAAATAAAGCGCAACGATTGATGCAAACCTTTTTAGGTTAGAAAAGAACGAACCTTTTACGCACTATAGGAAAGTGTAAAGTACTCGAGAGGGGAAAAGAGTGTAGTATCACAACGACGCCTCGGGTTCGGACCATCGACCACCAGATGTCGAGTATCACGTGTCTCTCCTTGGTGGAGAATTCTATCGTGCGTACCAATTTTTACCACACACTCGAGTGCATGATTCTATTTCATTGCGCACTTTGCATTCGAGAAAGAAGATTAACGCAAGTACCGCGGCAAGCTAACATATAAAGAAGATATAAAAGACAATAGTTTATCGCAGAGTGATTGATTTAAAAAAGTTGAAAGCGTTTTGGAATTGATATTTTCGAGCGCGCTCATGAGAAACGGTACAGCCAGCGTCATCTAGCCATCTAGCAGCTATTTGGATGGTTAGCGCCATCTCGAGCAGAATATTTCCTATCGTTCCCACATGGTGTGTATTGTTTTGAACGAATTAGGCAGTGACAAGTTATAAAACTGCAAATTTATTTGAACGATAACAGAGTGTTAAAGAACAAATAAATATGGCAAGTAATCAGTCGCATAATCAAAAATATTCTGCTTCTTTTGTAACATAGTAATCTAGTTCGAGTTACTTTCCGTCGATCTGTGAGTTTACCGATTTATGTTTCGCAGGGAAAAACTAAGAAAACAAGAAAAGTTGTTATGCAGAGGTTTGCACAAATGAAGAAAATGATAAGTTTAAGGGATTCGAGAATGTAAGTGGCTCCTTTTGTTTTTGCTATTTCAGCGCCTTCGGAAATAAGAAAGTAGTAAAGTATTTGGTAGTTTGTATCGTAAATATTTATTCGAAATAATAGTATTTTCGAAATTTCCTGTCCATTGTTCGATCGTACGACATAAGATCTTAACACAGAAAGGATCAATAACTCGAATCGGTATTTATCGACTAACCGTACTTGTTGAAAACATGGAGAACGTATGGTAAAGCGTTGCTTGGCAATTTGCAGAAAAGAGGAATTACGTGCACCGGCGAAAGCGAAAAAAGAAGATCCCACGGAATTGAAAATAAAAGAAGCGTAAGTAGAGTAATCCTTGGATAGCTGATTAGAAAGTGGAAAGTATACGTATATATATCGTAACGTATCATTATAGGCCTCAACAATCGTCGGCATTGTTTTTCCAATACAACACGCAATTAGGTCCTCCCTATCATATTCTGGTGGATACAAACTTTGTTAATTTTTCGATTAAAAACAAACTAGATATTATAGAAAATATGATGGAATGTCTTTACGCTAAATGCATACCGTACATAACAGATTGCGTTTTAGGCGAATTGGAAAAGCTAGGACAAAAGTATAAAATAGCGCTGAAGATTATAAAGGATCCTAGATTCGAAAGATTAAATTGTATACATAAAGGCACTTACGCGGACGACTGCATCGTTAACAGAGTGACTCAAGTAAGTGTTGTTATTAAAGCGATATTTTGTTCGATTACGAGATAAGAAAGATTCGAATGTTTTAGCATAAATGTTACATCGTTGCGACAAACGACAAAGACTTGAAGAGGCGGATACGAAAGATACCCGGAGTGCCTATTATGTACGTTGCTCAGCACAGGTACACGATAGAGAGAATGCCAGATGCGTATGGGGCTCCTAAGAAATGATAGGATATTTTTAGTACGGATAATGTTTAACCCTGATATACACTGCGTAATAAAATATGTTATGTTTTGTTAACAGTTTTTGTAATTGTGATTGAAAAGCGTCTAAGATAGTAAGTATTTTTTCCCCTTATTCCGCGTGACGTGTAAAACGTTCATTGTCAGAGATAAAGAGGGAGAACGCGTTACAGTTATTGTTCGGTGAAACAATGAAGCTGTTACACGTAACGCCCACATGGCGCGCAGCAACCCGATAGAATTTTACTGTTTCGCGAATGACGTTATTCCGTATATGGCAACAGCTCGAAATAATGTTAGACCAGTGGGCGCAAAAGACCATTTCGAGTGAGGAACGATCGCGAGCGAATTTATTAGGGGTGCGCCTCGGGAAATAAGTTGTTAAGAAGTCTGGCCAGGATGGTTTTCGCGGTTGGCCGAAGCGCTGGATAAAGATCGCGTTGGCGATCGTTACGCTTACCTACGCGGAAAACGATCAGATTTCTGGTTAAATCGTGCTTACCTCGAGGAATCTCGATGCCTTATCGCATCGCGTCACCGTGCATTTACCTCGATCCTTGGCGGGTCGAATAAGAATTTATCATCGGTCTATAAAACGTTCGGGACTTTGCGTTCGCGAGTAGGTACGAGGAGATGCGCGGTCTGGCTTTTCACGGTTATTACTACTTGTTCTCGTACGCGTCGTATGCTCCCATTCGTATCTCGCGGGTAATCGATCAGAACGATTCGTATCGGATAGTCGTCTAGCAGCGCGTTCCGATCACGGTAGGTCGAGACAATATAAAATGAATGCTAAAATCGAATACGTATTCCGGATCGTACCGTTCGAATAAATGTCAAGATCTTTAGTCGTCTCTCGAATCGTAACCTTTCGAGTGTCGTGAAGTCGACAAATGGCACATGCACGTGCGCTGCCATGCCGCTCCGCGCCGCTGAACTTGGGATATTAATCACACGGTGCGAGCGGTATCCCTCCCTCGCGACAAATACTCGGAATTAACCCTCGCCAACCAGGAAGCGGTGTGCATCGACTAAAGCATCAAACTTATTTATTCTGACTACGACTTGCGCGAGAATGCGAAACGCAACGCGTTTTTCCAAAGTTCGAGGGAAGTTTGAGGATAAGTAGGCAAAGATTGACGAGGAAGCAGGTAGCCGGTAGTTGTTTCGATCGATCGAACGCTCGGTGGGTCGCGCCGCGTTCGAATAATTCCGGCAGATCAGGAGGCAGAATTCGAACTTCCCATAGCGTCCCGTCACGAGCGCGTAGGCCACAGGCGCTTCCTCGATCTATAGCGTTTCTCCGTTATAGATAACGACTCGTCGAACGTTCGAAAGCGAGCATCAGGTATCTATGCTTGTCCTTATCCGAGTCGCGCGACATTGTTCGAGAGGTTTCGCGGAAGAAGAAGGAAGAAGAAGGAATAAGAGGCGCGAGTAAATCTATCGATAGGAGTTATCGAGCGTTTAGCGATTAAAGGAAAACTCGAGAGAGAATCGAGTCGGTTGACGCGGTCTCGTTCGTATCGAGCACCTTCGACGAAGCGAAAGAGCAAGAACGGAGGGAGAGAGAAGCGTCCGATCGTGGTAACGGATTAGTTATAAAAGTGGCTATAGGGCCGCGGATGTATATCTACAGCATCGTGGTTCTGAACCTCTTCGTTCCTCCGGTTCTCGCTCCTTTTTTCCTCGCTATCCCACACCCCGGTCCCGTCTTTTCTCCTCTCGCTTTCTCCCGATAGCTCCCCTCTTCTCCCGCGCATTATTCATCCGAATCGTTCGATCCTCGTTCGACCCGTCGAAGAGACCGGCCGGTCTTCGTCGCGCTCGTAGTCTCCCTTTCCGTCCACGCGGTTCGCACCGTTCGCCCGTAAGCGGTCCTCGTCGCCGAACGCTTCTCAGCGACGGCCATCTTGCATACCTGAGCCTCCGCATCGCTCGTTCCTCGAGGGCAAAAGGGAGAATATCTCGGCGCGAGACGACGCTGGACGCTGGGATGCGCGAGAGGATACAGTCCGAGGAGGGAGGATAACGGCCGCGGGGAGAGAGACGGGGAACGAGGCCGACAAGGACGGGGATGGCTAAGGGCCCGCGAAGGGGTCCGCGAAGGGGCCCGTGCTCGAGCTAGACCGACAACGAGACAGAGAAGGTAGGTACGGGCGGCAACGGAGAGGGGTAATCGCGCGCGCGCGCGCGACCGGGACG